CCAGTTTCCCTGCTGCTGCTGGGCAGTGCTGTTAGCCACACTACCTTCTCGAGATCGATCACTTTCCCTTTGTATAGTTCGCTTAGGGCAGCTGGATCGAAGATGGCCCCTTTCCCCACAGCCGTAGCACCTAGGGCTGTATCTTTTATTGCGGTCGCGAACTGTAGCTGCTGCAATCTCCCTGACACGATGATCATGTCGCACGGCTTCCACCTCCAGTGCATGGGCCAACGCGTCCTTAAGCGTCTCGTGGTCCCCGAGCCGCACAGCGGCTCTGACTTCAAGGTCGCGGATGCCGTCGATGAATGTCTGCACCAGGTTCCCTACAATGAACACAGGTACAGACTGGTATGCTTTTTGAACCAGCTTCTCCACCTCAAGGGCCCACTGCTGCAGGTTTTCGTTACTGCGTTGCACGCGATCTTTGAGCTGCGCACCAAAGACGTGTTCCAGATGAGTGTCGCCATATCTCGCCTCTAATGCCTCAAGGAGCTTCTCGTAAGTCACTTCCTTACCGAGAACTTCCAGAACAGTTAAGGCTTGGTCGCGTAGGCCTAGGGTGAGAGCAGTCATGGCCTGACTTTTATTCCAGCCGTTCGCCTTCATAACAGCCTCGAACTGGATTTTGTTGTGCCGACCAGGAAGAAGTCCCGACGAACGACGGCACTTTGAATAATCCACCTAGCGAAGGTGTTGTAGCTACCACGGGAGCTGTAATTCCATCTCCATGTTTGAGGTAGTCCAGCGTTTTCTTCACGTCAGCCATCACGTTGTCAACCCGATTGTACACTTGGTCAATTCGGGTTTCAGCTTCCAACAGACGGTTTCATCGTGTTGCCATATACAAGACATTAATAGTGACGCGCAACAATATTAATTTCCTTAAATTTTTGTCGCAGCGACTCTTTAGGTTTTAAATCATAATTTGCTCTTATGGCCCTCTTCTGTAAAACAAATATAATTTCAGTGTCAGCTGCGTGTCTCCATAGCAAAATACCATACGACATTATGCTATGGAAATAGCTAAAGTAAACTAGTCTAGCTGTTTCAACACTAGTTAGACTTCTAATCTTTTTTACAGGATATGCTGCAGAACTAAGTCTGCTTGCTAGTTTTGATATATGGGGGCTCCATTGAAGCTTCGCTTCTAGTTTCATTCCAAGAAAAATGGTGGTATGTACAAGACTCAGTTTCTCCCCATTTAAAATTACATTAGTATTTAATTGTTTGACATTTGGAGTCATGAATTGTGACTGACGTGAGTGACGGCTCCGTGGCGCAGTGGCTTAGCAATCAGTTGTTGCGCTGGGGGCTGCGGGTTCGAATCCCGCACGGAACAATTATTTGTAAGGCCTACAAATAATTGTTCCGGGTCTGGATGTTTGTCCTTGTGCAATTTATGTTTGTAAACTGCCTCCACGACACAGGAGAAAATCATAGTGTGGGGGAGACGTTTTTAAAAAAAAAATTCATAAATTTCGTTTTAGTGCTATTTAGATGCAAATTATTAACATTTAACCAATTTACTAATTTAGATATAGCATTATTTACTTCGTCATATTTTAGCAATTGTCGACTTAATGTATATTATATATCATGGTTATCTCCTACTATGTAAGGTAAGCCATTAATATATACAAGAAACAGAAAGGGGCCGAGAATTAAGCGTTGAGGCACGCCCATTTGTACCATCGACCCGGAAGAACTCATACTGTTAATGACAACTTTTTGCGTTCTTTTACTTAAATATGAAAAAATTAATTTAAGAGCATCACTTCTTACACCGTAGTGTTGAAGTTTCCTGATTAATGTTTCATGGTGAACACAATCGAAGGCTTTGGATATAACAACAAAATATACCCAAAGCATCCTGTGAATTCTCCCATGCATTAAAGATATATTTAATCAGCTCAACACCGGCATCAGTTGTCTAGCGACCCCTTGTGAAACCAAATTGATTTTTATGAAGTAAATTATTTATATTAAAGGAATTTAACATTTGATCAAAAATAATTTTTTTCAAAAATCTTACTAAGGGTTGGTAGTACAGAAATAGGTCTAAAATTGGCGGGGTCTAATGTACTACCAGATTTAAATAAAGGTATTACTTTACTATACTTCATTAAATCAGGAAACACACCAGATTCGATACTAGTATTAAAAATAATAGCTAAATGAGGCGCGATTGTATCTAGTATAGACGCAATAACTTTAACGGAAATCCCCCACAGATCCACAGTTTTCTTAAAATCAATAGTTTTAAAATATTTTACAATATCTTATGATGATACTTTATGAAATGTAAAATTCTTTATACACGCATTTACATTTTGTTTAAGTAATGATCCGGCGACGGCAGGAGAAGAATGCAGTGACTTAGTGGTTAATATCGGAATATCAGTAAAATATTTCTTAAAAACCATTGCAACGTCCTGATCTATTTTGGTTAATTTGTTATTAACACTTAACTGGTAGTTTGAATTCCGAGAGTTGATCTTACCAGTTTCGCTATTAATTATACTCCATGTCATTTTAATTTTATTAGAAGCCGTCTTAATTTTTGCTATAAAGCAGTATCTCAGTTATTCCCATAGACTTGCTCTATCTACGGTTATTCCGCTTAAAATATTGTATAGGGGTTTGAACAGATTATATAAACAGGTTAAAATTATGCGTTGGTTCTGTTTAATCTACCGTTTCGTTACAGATGTGCAACTGACAAATATTTACAACATTTATTATTAATTTTTTTAATTGTCTTGGTTGAATTTAATGATATAATGTATTCCTATTCTTACATATAATTCAATTAAAAATCGTGATGTAAAGCAATCACATGGTTATTAAAATTCAATTTTACTTAAGGCGTCATACAATCGTTCCCAATATTTCAAAATAATACCGAGTAATATCATATTGTTGGGTGAACACCGAACTCGTGCAATTGATTTCGTGTACGTGAGTGACACTACTAAATGGGGCGTACCTGTACGCAAGCAGAGCTGACCGGTACTACTGCAGACGTCGCAGGCAGAGGGGGGACCCCACTTTCCTTCATACCGCGCCCCATCGCTACTATTAGTATTTATTACACATAGTAAGCTCGGCCGGCCATATAGCTCGAAGAACCGACAACCGATGGGGAAGAAAGGTTCTCGAGTGGCAGCCTCGTACCGGCAGGCGAAGTGTAGGGCGTCCCCCCACTAGATGGAGTGACGACCTGGTAAGATATGCAGGAAGTCGATGGATGCAGGTGGCTCAGGACCGTGCTTTGTGGCATTCTTTGGGGGAGGCCTATGTTCAGCAGTGGACTTGTGAAGGGCTGTAATGATGATGATGATGACACATAGTATGCCCATACTCAGAAGCTCTTGCTTGTATGTAAATCGAATACAAAAAAGTTACCAGTTGCAAAATCACATTTGCACCATAATTTGAAGTCCCATTTGTCGGGTTTATTTATGTATTGATAATTCATTACATTATGCTCTTTGAATTATATCTTGTACTCGTCGATAGATTGCTGTTATGTATTTAGGGCATTTTGAAACGAGGTCTTCAAATGTTTCATCACAGGCCAGATTTTTTATGCTCCATCATAATGAGAGCATACTTCTTCATTAATACGGAAAAGTAGGTTCCTGCATACTTCTTCGGATCGAGCCCTTGAGGTACCGCTATGCCTGGTTCTGTAGATCAGCAATCTTTCAATTATGGCAAGATTATATATTATACTATATTATTAATTAAATTCATACCGAGTAATGTTTTATTTCTTTTATTTTTTTTATAGGATCGGGTGACAAACGAGCACACATTCCACCTGATGGTAAGTGGTTACTGTGACCCATAGACATCTACATCTATCCTCAATAAAGACTCAAGATGCAGATGCGTTGTCACCCGTGAGGACTAAGATGTAATGCCTCTTTGCCAGTAAAAAGGGTCTCCGGTTCTCTACACTCACCATACGAAACACAGCAGCGTTAAGCTGCTATTTTTCGCTGGTTTTCTGTGAGAGCGTGGTCCTTCCCCAGTCGAGCCGACCCATTCGTGCTACAACCATAATATAGCTGCAGCATGGCTCTACCACGTAGAACCATGATATGAACTAATATGAACTTACAGGGTTGTATTGGTGATTTTAATGATAATAATTCTGTAAACACATAATCGCTACGGTCGCGAATCATATTTTGTTAAATATACAACCTAAACCTGACCTGCAAATTCCAAAAAACGCAAGAAAATTTGAATTTCGCGGGCCACCCTGGAGCTTCCACCATAATGAAAATATCAAAATATCGGCTTCCGCTTCCGGGTAGATTTTTTTTATAGAAGAGCGGCTCACCTGGTGGTAAGTGACTATCGCCGCCCAAATTTGCATTTGTAAATCGAATTCCACATCAAAAAAAATATTCGGTGTGCTGAAATTAAAATGTTCTGAATTTCACAGGGTTACCTATAGTTTCAAGTGTCAAGAAGTTGAACGTACAAACAAGGTTTTATACTTATGTTTTGTTGTAGTAGAATCTACTAAGTAGATGGAGGCTTAGTCTATGTTTGTTGTACAACCCTTAATTATAATATCTTTGACAACCCTAAACAAAAGGAAAAGGATATGATGTAACACTTTAGTTTATGGTTATGGACGTAGATGTGTACTAGCTTTAAGATTAATTACATTTCATTAATATATTTTCATCATTTATAGTAAGAACAAAATGGGCATAATAAATAGAAGTTTTGCTTTGAAAAATATTTTATTCATTAGCGATGTCGATAATTTACATAAAAATTAAAACATTTCAAATTTTAAACGGTTCTGACAGTAAAGCAAGGAATACATTATCATAGAAAAATGTATTTTGTCTATGCACAATCAATGTGGCGGCTGAAGTACCTAGTGAGCGTCAAGTTATGGCGTTTTGTATTAGACGTTCGTAAATAGTTTTTGATGTTTTAACTAAATGTCAGTGTAATTTTGACTTAAATTGAATATGAGTAGATATTACGATTACGGTAATGCGATATCATGGTAAGTTCAATTTTTTTAAAGTCTCTGACATCCATATTGTTAAAGTTTGTGTACGTTTTTAACAGAAAATACAAATTTGTGTTAAATTTGAAACTGCACATTATAACGCAAATAATCTTATACCTATTTATCATTATGTATCTTAAAAATATATACCGGTAAATGTAAACAACAACTTTGAACTTTGTGGCCTTTACTGAACTGAATGTTGGCGCTGCACATAAGCATGGTCTTGAAATATGTTAAGCACTTTTTCACATAAACTACGATTCAGACTCGAAAGTATTGCTAAATTTGATATCTATAATATTTTTAGTTAAGGTGTGTGGTAACAGTACATATCTATGGACAACCTGTTCTATCTCATTTCACTTCTATGTTCTTGTTATATTATATTATCCTTACTATTTTTAATATCTATTATATATATATAGTGTGTATATATATACCTATACTATATATGGGTAGAAACCTACAAGTGATTTTAAGTGGGAAGGGGATCATGTATAAGGAAGAGAAAGATGCAAAACACCATATTTTTGATAAAAAAAATCTTTCCTTATTTAATCACTTTTAAGCATTCCTTAGTATACACCCGTGAGAAAAAGCGAGGAAAACAAGGGGTATGTGTGTTGGGTGATGGAATTTAATATCCAAAAGCCACTCTAGTCTCACCTTAACATGTTTAGATAGTTTGTTAAACCTATCAAGTTTTAGAAGTCATAGTTATTTTAATTATTATTCAGATTACGTCTACTTGTTTTAGCCAGAAGCAACCAGCTACACCTGCTTTTAACTATGAACAAGTTGTCTGCACCTATATTGTCATAATTATCTTAGTTTTTAGAAAATATGTCTTTCTAAAGATAACAACAATATTGGAAATTGAAAATAGAAGTATCGATTAAACTAATAATATTACAATATCAATATTCAAACATAAACTACATTGATAAATGTACCATAAAATGCCCTAACTTTGCATGAATTTTGAGGTTTTTGGGATATTTCTTGACATGCATAGAAAAAGAAAAAAAAAATCAAAACTTGATATACCTAGCAAAACAACCCATTATAGCCTAAACCACATATTTTCTGAGAAATAAGCTTCGAAAAGGCCAGGCAAAGATAATGGCATTTCCTCTATTTTGCCTAGGCAAATTATCGCAGTTGAAAATGTGTTTCCAAATTAACAGATTCCGCTCCCTTATAGTATTGAGTTATTATTCCTATTTATCCATGTCACAAAGTGTAAAACTTTTATTTAGAAGTTAGGCAGACATTTTGAACATTTAGTCTTTAATGGGGAATTTTTCAGAGTTGTCACCTTGTAACTACAGGAAAATAAAACCATTTATATGTTAAATATTCAAAAAGCATTAATGTTACTAGGTTTTATTAAGTACAATCTGTACTTTCGCAATAATATAATTATGCTTACAAAATAATAATAATTAAATAAATGTTGATAATCTTGTATTTATATTAGGCATTTCTTAATTAGGTTATAATAATTTGACAATTTTGGCATGACTAGACTTTTTGTAAATCAACATAATAAGGCGGGTAGGTACCTACATAAATAGCTAAACTAACGAACTATATTTAAAAGCAATCGAAAATGAAGCTTACTAAAATTGGTAACCAATAAAAATTAATATAATCTTCATATTGCATTAAAACATACCTATTCGTCAGGATTTTCATAAAATTTGTTGACTTTATTTAACTTTATTTAAATATTTACGCCTGGGAATCCCGAATTGTTTTTGTGCTTCATACAATAATTTCTTAGGTTTTATGAGATCAACCGCTAAATTTACTTCGGTAAAATAAGTCACCTACCTATTATTTATTTATAACTATTTCTTTTAGGTTATTTATGTAAAACGTAAAGGTTATACTACGTTCTAACCTCTAACTTGGGCATACGAAACCGCGGAATTTTAGTAGTGTTATCAAACTAATAATTGGCAACCCTACCCTTAGGCAAAGTTGTCGTTTTTTCATAAAAAGCGACAGAAAATTGTATGTCTTGATTTTACCAGCTTAAACTCGTTTTAGAAGAACAAAACCTAGAGAGAAGGATATGAGACTATTTTTCATTTAATATGGTTCATCAAATCCGTAAAAATAGTTTAATATAATTACACATTGAAATTTTGAAGTGCATGCAAAATATCAATAATCACAATTTGTGCAATTCTGATGTTCACTGACACTTCACAACTCTTTACCAGAACCAAAAATAAGTTTTTCCATGCAATTAAAATCCTACCGTAGACTCAGTTCTCTAGCTTACATAGCCTACTAATGAAATCTAAATGATCAGTTTAGGCAAAGTAAGGCTAGGTAGGTCAAATTAGAGCATCTTACGGTACATTAATTTAAAAAAAACTACATACTTCAGATAAACTACTGATTTATTAATTTTCTTTTTACATTTTCAATTATCTTTTTTTGACGCATTTAGTATTAAAGTTTAAATTAGATACAAGCATTTAGTATTAAAATTTGGATAACTTTTATGTTGTTATCAATCACTTGTTGGATCACTTGATCAGACAAAATACTCTCACATCATTTTGTGTTTTATTTTGTTGTCATATTTGTAAGAGAAATTAGTTACAAGTGGATTATTTTTTTACATAATACATTTATGGAAAATTTTTAGGTCATAAAAGTGCACATTATTATTTAACAAGTATATTTTTAATTTCAAAAATTGTACATTTCTACTACGTAAAAAAATTAATAAGATTTTGAAAACTCTTTTCTATATATATTAGGAATAAACTAACAAAAATAATATCTATCAATAATCATTTGTAGGTTTTGTACAGTTGAGCCTCCCAAATGTTTTATATAAAGTTCAAAATTTGACTACATTTCACTGTCCTCATAGTTTATACAAAGTTATAAGAAAATAAACTAAAACAGTTACTAAACTATTTGTAAAGTGGGTGGAATGTATAACAACTATAATGATTTAAGAATGCGGGAGGCTAACTCCCTGAGATGTGGATAATGCAGAAATGAATATTTTTTAAACTTTATGCTTCTCAATTCACTGGATATTGAAACATAAAACTTTAAAGGATAAAATTTGTAGATAAATTATTAATAATTTAGTTATATTGTCATTGTTGCTATTGACTAAAAGGAAATTAAAACTAATACCTAGATTAAAAATTAATATAATAAAATAAATATTGTTTTAAAACACATACTTAAAACAAGCTATTAAACCCTTTATTACCCTCTCAGGGGATGAATTTTCATAATACATTTATAATAGAACATGATTGCCAAATTTCAAGTAAATTGAGCATATAGTTTTGGAGATATCGTAATGAGTCATTCAGTGGTACTTTGCTTAAAATTTTTTACTTTAAGCAAAATACCATTGACTCACTCATTAAGTATTTTATTTAATGTAACAAGATAAACATGAAAATATTACTGGTGCATTCCAAGCCTAAACAAATTAAAATTTCACTTAACATTAAGATCCCAAACAATAACATCTAAAAACTATGTTTTAGCAGTGTGATAATTTTGAGTTGTACAAACTTAATTACTATTTTAGACTTCCCTATTAATTGTATATATTGTACAATTCAGCCAGCAAAATGCTTGAAGTCACTTGTAACAAATAGTACTTAATCACATCTGCATTAAGTATTCTCATTTCATTAATATTAAATGTTTCCTATAATTTCATTTATTATGTTGTTTACAGCAGATCTGATTAAAAAAAATTTGGAAACTTAAAAAATATGCTAGATTAATAGCTAACTAACTAATAGGTAATACTTTTGCAAGCATAATAATGCTTACTGAGTTACATAATATTTTTTTATGAATATAATATATAAAATAAGAAACAAGAAATAAAATCTTTAGCTTGTGAAATAAATATTGTTTTAAGAATATGTAAATTTACAAAACATGCGGAAGTAATGCATTTTTTTTATAAAACGTAGTTTTGTGGTGGTCCTGAACCCCTATTCTTAGAACAAGTTACTCTCAATGTTTTAAAAGTTAAATATTACTAACTCTTTTAGAGTTATAGTTGAAAGAACTTGTTTATCTTGCAAATATTTTCTGGAAAATTTCCTTGACAGGATAGTATCAACTTCTTTCTCTTACTATTGCAATCATTAGAATTTCAATTCCTGTCACCCCAGGTGCTTTCTTACTTTGTCAGTTATTCAAAACTGTTAATCCAAATTTTTCTCCTTAGCGATGCTCTTTCACAGCTGCAGTGGAATAATTTATTTAAATACAAAAAGGACCGCCATCATTGAATCAAATAAATGCTCGTGGATTTAGTGGTTTGTTGATTATTAAAGCTGCAAGACATGTTTTAACCATTGTAGACTAAAAAAAATAATTATTCAATTGCAGATGTTCTCTCGCACCTTTCCCCATATTTGCCTTTTTCCAGTTATGGTAAGAGAAATAAGGATGCTCCCAGTGCAGTTCCATTTTTAAGTTCCATTTGCAATGTCAAAGAAATTTTCCAGAAAGCCTCTTCAGGTCGTAATACTGTTTATGATAGCTATTTCTGTCCGTTTTCGGACTCCTTAATTTCAGTTGAGATGAGACTGTCGCTCGTCAACAATGGTTAAAACACGATCTTCAGCGCGGGTAGTTAACTCGGCCCAGAGTGCGCCCGCTGAGAATGGAACCTCTTCCGAACTTAGGACGCGCCTCAGAACTACTGAAAATGGACATCGCTCACAAAAGAGCAACAGTTCTAGGCAAGTGTCAAGTCCTCTCGCGTTTGCTCACTCTTATCTGGCAGCATGGCCACCAGCCAAAATGCTACATTTTTACGACAAATTGACAGAAAATTTCTTTGTTAATAATAGAGTATGAATGTGGATGGAAAGCCGTCAGGATTGCATGACACTAAATGGGCTTCTGGTGTTGGGTTTGAATAAACTGTAATTTTGGGCAACCTTGTACTTATTGAATTATGTGTTAAATTAATAAATCATAACATTGGACAATATTTTAATGTGCATGTTTTTATGACTAGTTACTGTCACTTGTTTGGTATACTGGTGTCAAATAGATATGGTTGATTGGCAGGAACAGCCAGGCGTTGCCCTCAAGCGGTGTGGGCCCCGGAAGTGGGTCTCAGGGCAAGGACCCTTTGGCGCCCGCTTTGCCAGGCCCCCGTTCAATGTATCAGCACCCAGCTGTTACTGGATATAACCCACAGGACTCACGAGCACAGGCTTTACCGGTTACGGTAAATAAAAATACTAGATTATGGTAAAAAAACTAACCACATCTGTTTTGTTGCTAAATATAATTGAATATATTTGGTATTTTCTAGCAAAATTGTGTAAATGTGTAAATATTTTGATATTTATTTATAAAAAAGAAGAGATTTTATCGTTTAAAAAAATATGATACAACAAGAAAGATTTGCATTTCTCTCATAATGGGTTGTGGTGCTATTTTTTTGTTACTATACTAATTAATTCTAGCATAAGTGGATTCTAGTCCATAAGCGTTGCACATTATGTGAGGCTTTAGGCGAACATTTTTTAATGTCAACATGAATTTCAATGTCTACAAAACGAAATGTACTGTCCCAGTGAAATTCAAAATTAGCTGGCTACATTATTACTATTAATCATATTCATTGCCATTATCAACATCATGAATGCGTTCATAAGTCCACTGCTGAACATAGGTCTCTCCCAAGGAATGTCACAAAATACAGTTTTGAGCAACCTGCATTCATCACACACTGCACACATCACCTTAGGTTGAACGTACATTTGGCCGCACCGCACCGTAAGCGCCGAATTTTAGAATTCGTAGTATGAAATCATATTATGAAACCTCGCATATTACACCCGCACCGTACGCGCCGAATTTTAGAATTCGTAGTATGAAATCATATTATGACACCTCGCACATTACTCCCGCACCGTACGCGCCGAATTTTATAGAATGCGGTAGGTATCCAAATATTGAAGAACGCATACGCGCCGAATTTTAGAATTCGTAGTATGAAATCATATTATGAAACCTCGCATATTACACCCGCACCGTACGCGCCGAATTTTACAGAATGCGGTAGGTATCCAAATATTGAAGAACGCATGCAGATGTGACGTCATATAACGCGGCGCGTTCAGCGCGTGCTGATACTCAGTGTTGTCTAATGTTGCCAACTTAGTGGATTTTCCACTATAACTGGTAGTTTCGACTTACGTAATAATTTGTTTTTTTATAACTTTTAATTTATTCGTAATTAAAAGTTTACATAATTTGATTTTTTTGCATCGATTATCAATATTAAAAATACTTAGTGATGATTATTTAAATACTGAACTAAAAAAAAATTGTTAAATTTAATTAAAAACCCAATTATACCTGATTACTTAATTATCAATAAAAATACTTACCTCATGTATGTGGTTTTAGTATAGCAATTCTTGAAATTTCTAGTATGTTAAATGCAAATATCTAAAAAAAATCGTTCATCATCATCTAATAAGTTTTTCAATAAAGTATAATATTCTCCATACAATTGCCTTTTTAAATTAATATTATGAATCCAGAATCTTCTTTTTTTTTTTTTCGAATTTTATTTTCTCCTTCCTCTGCAAATAAGCACGCTATGACTGTATTTATTTCCACAGTGATTTCGTGCGATGAATTTCACTGTACCGTTTCATACCAGTGGTTAGAAAAAACAATAAAAGTTATTGGTAATACAAAAGATTTGCGGATGGTGCGGACAAATGTGCGTTCAGCTTTACACTACTTACCGGCCGGTAACAGTTGTGAAGAAAATTTTAAAATTATATGTTGAATATTGTGTTTTTGCATAAAATTGTTTACTGATACTTCATATTAAAGTTGAAAATTGCCAAATCTGGTGCATGGGACGAGTTTGATTACTGAGCATTGCGTAGCGGTGTGCTTGTTCTTACCATGAAGGTGTATATAAGCAGGCGCGCACTGCGCAGGCGCGGCAGAGCCCGATGTACGCGGGCGGCATGTACCACGGCTACGGCGGCGCGGGGGCCGGCGCCACGCTCGCGCCCATGCCGTCGCTCTCGCCCACGGCGCCCCTGCCTCCCTTCCCCGTGCATCCGGACGTCAAGTTCAAAAAGTTAGTTCACTTTATAATTCAATTTCTTTTACACTGCTTAAATTCAAAACGCATGTAAAATGCTTATGAAGAAAAGATATAATAATAATAAATTAAGTAACTGTTTCCGTCCATTCATTCATTACAGCCTAAAAAAGCCCATTGCTGAAAATAGGTCTCCCCCACATAGATTGGCGGAATGGGGGATTTTTCCATTGTCGCCAAGTTTGGCAAGCGGGTTGGCAACCGCAGTTTTATTTTTTAGTTGTTATTATAAAAGCACTGCTGCCTATTTCCTGGTTTGTTTCCCTCTGTCACCTCGACACACACGGTACGATATGGGGTAGTGAATATTACACTGCCTCTACATGGTTTCATGATGACTGTTTAAAAGAAAAGAATACGTAGACATTTATTTTGCTTATGTACATATTAGTGATGACTCGTCGATGTATTTGTCGTTAACGAAACTAGACCTTCCTTTTTGGTAGGTAGTTTAAAAAGTTGAATTTGTCTACTGGTTTACGCGTCAATTTGGTTTTGCAGACGCTTAAACATAATCTCAGCGAGGTCGTCTATGGCTCGACATAGTCGACATACGTCGACAACGACAAGATCATGATGTATTAAGTCGTCTATTGTTAAGTCACCCTTCTCTTTTGCACACGCGATGATATCATGACTGCATCCTTTTCTCCACCGAACACAATAACCAACTGCTATTTATAATCTTACACTGTATACATCTAGAGTTCTAATTTGTTTGCGCAATTATGTAATTTCAACGAACATAATATGAACTAATATTATCCGACCACGTTCTCGCGTTGCTAGTCGAAATGAACTTATGGAGTTTCTATTTAGCCATCTACGGATTCGACTAGTCCATTGATTGTTTGTAAACTGTCTACTTGTTCACAGAACGTCGACGTTCGAATTAACTACTTTTTTTCATTCAACGCCCATCGCTAGTACCTATACACATTATAAGGATAAATTGCAACTCTTGGGAGAAAAATTTTGCCTTGCCAAAACCAATTTTGAATACAAATATTTGACGACTCCCAACTGATGAGTCACAGATTTTAACTCTAATCCAAGCTGAAGTCAATATTTTTCACGAAAAAATATTACTGGTTTTTAAGTGTGAATGTGTTGGTTAGAAAGAAAGAAGCCAATATTTATCTGTATCTGATACTAAGGAAATCTGGCTGAGGTCTTATTGTGTAAACCATTAAACTATTTGGATAGGGTTCCAGGACAGGAGACAAACAGTCCTTTGCTTGTGCTGTGATCTTATAACATCTCATGTGATCACAAGTGAAAGAATTTTTTTTCTTTATTAGTTCAAACCTCAAAGTTCTCAAAAAACACAAAGTTTTAGAGCTACCTTTAGAGCTACTTTCTCTTTTATGTTGTTTGTATCTGATAAACAGCAAGGTGGTGGTTTCATTTCATTATACCCAATGTTCTATCTATTCTATTGCAAGCTACAAAAGCATTTCCTTTAAATCGAAACACTTATGGGATGAGATGTAGTTATTCATTTTCTTACGCATGGCGATAAATTATGATTGCAGTTGTCAATTTCACATTATTTCAAACTTTCGCCGTGTTAATCGCATTTAGCCAATATTACAGTCAGGCACGTAGAATCTTCGGTCACAGCCAATATATTTGTGTTTTATATTTTGTCACTAATTCTTGTGCATCTAATCTCCTTGCAAGAATATGAACTGTTGGAAGGGGTGCCTGATATGTTTGTTGTTAACTTAAAAAAACATTGTTATAATGTATAACGTGATATTGCCACAAAGATTTTTTTTAAATAATAATCATACTTTTCATTGCATTACTAGCATTAACTATTTACAGGCAATTTTTTACATGGGTTATTGCTAATTGTGCAATAACCCATGTAAAAACCCAAAAACCCATGTAATCAATAGGTGAGGTTCCCCTATTGATTACCTCGTAGGGGGCAGTTTTTTTTTTAAATTAGTTATAAGCTAACAGTCCACTTGATGGGAAGTGATACACCTTCAATAAAAGAAGTCAAGTGCTTTTTCCCACCACAGGACTAAAATCGAATGCTTTATTACCTGGAATTATACTCTCCTATGTCTTATAATTGAACACAGTATTATGTGACTTACTGATGTTTGGGACAGGAATAAATAAGAAGGTAGCACAAACCCAGAAGGCTCTTTTCAAAATTACCATATTATAATAATGATTTTATGCAAAGATTTAATAAAGGGCTTCGGTCTTTATAACATAATAATAAACTAATACATTATTTAATGTGTCTGATCTACACTTGGCTGATAGAATGGCAAATGTAGGACCATTGTTTAGAGCTTAAGAATTATGTTTATTTTGATAACATCTTTACTTTTTTATTATTGATACTTTAGTTATATTTTTTATACCCAAAGCATTTTATTAGGTTACTGCCACTTATGAAAATACTGTAATACTACATATTCTTAAAAATCTATAATTCCAGACTCCCTTTCTACGATGTAATGGCGGAATTAATGAAACCGTCTACTATGATGCCAATGCAGGCTGGTCGGATGCAAGAGGGTACATTCATATTCCACCTTACACCACAACAGGCCACCGAGATAGCCTCAGGCAAGGATATCGTCGGAACTAGTAATAAGCTTGATTATGTTATACAGGCAAGTAATTGCGTTTTTATATAATTGAGTTACATATCCGACTAGTGTTTCAAAATAATTAAATGTCTATTTCATTGAGCTTTGCTTTGTTGTTTCTTCAACCACACAATAAGTTGTACTGATCACTGAATAATGTTAGTAACTTTTGTTGTAGGCCCAGTTGAGATTCTGCCTTCTAGAAACTTCATGTGAACAGGAAGATTATTTCCCACCTAGTGTTAATGTAAAAGTAAATAATAAAATGTGTCCGTTACCAGTAAGTATGCAAGTCTACATTTAAGATGTACTAGTATCATTTAATATGTGTTCCTATTGGCCTTTGTATACAATTTATATTTAATTCAATAGTAACTATTAGAAAATTATGTTTTAATTTTTTATATACCATGTTTTTTTTTTCTTACACTATCGTCCAATTCTGAGCTATGTTCAAGATTTCAAATCTCTAGCTCATCGAGAAGTCAGTTAACAATTAATTACTAAATTTCACCCAAAACGTGTTAATATAAATTTAAACATAGAATTATAACTTCCATGAATTGTTATATTAAATTAAATACATGGCTAGTATTATTAATTATTATCTACAGAAATACTAAAAATTTTGTATCAGAAAAATGCAATTTTAATTTTATTGTCATTGACAGAAAAGTCTAGCTCTATTTTTATGACTAATTTAAAACTATTGCAGATAAAATAAGTACTGGTACTAATGCTGTTGTAATTTTCATAGAACCCAATACCTACAAACAAACCGATGCCAGAACCAAAACGACCACCAAGACCGGTCAACATCTCATCCCTCGTGAAACTGTCGCCCACAGTCGCCAACACTATACATGTAACGTGGGCTGCTGACTTCACGCGAGCGTACGTGCTCAGTGTGTTTCTTGTGAGGAAGCTAACCTCCGCAGAATTATTGCAGCGGCTTAAGAACAAGGGTACTAAAAATCCGGATTATACACGATCACTGAGTAAGTAAAATGAGCAATATATGTTGTGATTTTGATATACATTGAATTATAATTAAATACTATTCTGTTAACTGTACTTATATTGGTTGATTCAAAAAGAAAATACATGAAACATCAACATTGTTTGGTACATTTTGGGTAGCCTTATTCTAAGCATTTTAGTTTAGTTTACGACGGCCTATTTTACGTAACTCCACGTCTAAGCGCGTTATTTACGTGTGGGCAGGAATATTGTTATTATTCGTTATTAATATTAGCTAAGTTAAGACTATAGCCCTGTACCACAGAATAAATAATAGTACTAACGTACAGAAGTTGCACTCTTTTGATGTTGACTGCTTGCCGACGTTTTAATAGCCTACATAGTTATTATTAATCAGATAAATCGCGCACGCAAGCTAAATAAAACTTTATCGCTGCGCGCGATTGTCCGTATTACTTTGCATCTTTTCTCCTTACTACGTCACAACGGACTTCCCGTGGTTGCTAAGGGCTGTTAATAAAGAGTAAAAAATACATTGTGAAATGGTAAGTTACTTAGCTAAAGTACCTATGCTGACTATAATCGACCATATTATCTACAATGTGAGTTCTGTGATGCCCAACGCATGCAACTTGCAAGACCATTCGTCAGGAATCGCGATTCTTGGTTCGTATAGGTAGATAGCGTAAACAACAAAACAACCCGAAATACGATTCCAAACAGAAATATGATCGTAATCTACTTAATTGAAAATCTTGTAAACAAAGTTTTGATTTCAGTATGTTGTGCTATTATAACTTAAAATATTTTAATTACAAAAACGAGTATAGGTATGTAAGTAGGTACTTTGGTACTGAAGTAAGTTTCAACTAAGTTTTGTAATAAAATATTTAGGTATTATTTCTGTAGTAAATTATTACTTAATTATTTTTTCGCTATAAGTACCTATCTAACAAAAAAATTAAATAAATTTTACCTTTCATTATCCTTCGGTAACTCAAAAAATATCCTGAATTATTTTAATTTCTCATTAAGCATCCATTCCCGCAACAATTATAGTAGGAACGACGTTTTCTCATTGAAATTTATCAAATAGATAGATTAAAACTTTTTCAACTATTTTATCCTACAATTAAATATACTAAACACTAAACAAACACTATTTCGACGAATATTTCAACAAGTGTTTACAAAAAATTATTTACGTAAACAGCGTTAAAAAAACTTTAACATTCAATCGTATAGAACGCGCTAGCCCCGACTGCGATCTACCCCTGGGGCAGCTCGCGATTGTAGGTAATTATTTCACGCAGGTAGCAAGTGAAAGAGGCCTGCCTGTACCATTATAAACTCTAACAAATTTCTTCAAGTAGATTCCATTCCATTCCATCTGTAAGTATTCATAATGATTTGCTGGTATAAACTGTACTATTTTGTTTCAGTTAAAGAAAAATTATCTGAAGATTATGATAGTGAAATAGCTACAACTTCCCTCCGAGTATCTCTCATGTGTCCCCTCGGTAAAATGCGAATGTCGTGTCCTTGTCGGCCCGCAAACTGTCCACATTTACAGTGTTTTGATGCTTCGCTGTTCCTGCAGATGAATGAGCGCAAACCAACCTGGCTATGCCCAGTCTGTGATAGACCTGCACCCTATGATTCATTGGTGGTTGATGGGTAAGCTTATATACTACATTTATTACATTTGAAAAACGAAATTTTTATTTCTTACGTCAAATAAATATATTTCATTTCATCTCTAGTTTCTAATGTCTAATATATATGATTTTTACTTGCCTGTTTTTGACTCATCAATGATTAATGCGTCGGTGTTTTCGATACAATATATTGATGGTTGAAAAAAATCCGATTCAATGATATTGTATACTATAGATATGTTATAAGCTCATATAATCACCCAAAAACATGTTCCAAACACAGTGACGGCACACATTGACACGTATCTCGTTCATTTTACATTTTACTACATCGTCGAATGATGTAAAAAGGATGGCGTCATTAAAATAATAAGAAAAAAGAGAACTAGTGAGTTAGACAGCTAGTGTTTGTCACTTACACATGTAAATAAATGTTACTCAGGCCACCAATCACCACTCCTCTCAAATTTAATTGCAGTCTCTTTCCTTTTCTTTTAACCTCCACAAATTATAATATTAGGAAAATAATTGAAATGTACTTACTAATAAATCTAAGTATATTGCACATGTGATATGAGATTCCTTGTATTAACTTTAGAAACGTAATTGGTACACTTAAATACAAAATGGCATTTTTATTATTGTTAAAGTTTTTCTATACAGCGTCTTTCTCGCCGCCCTGCGTGACGCGGACTAAAGACAAAACGTCCCAATTAGGACGTTTTAGAATCTTCAATACGCGCGCCTTAACTACATATTATCTGCTTTTTTTGTGTATATAATAATATTGCAGGCATCACTTTGTGAAAACTTTTTTTATATTGTAAAAAGTAAAAGTAAAAAATTAATTTATAAAAATTATCAAGGAATCCTAAGTGGATGTGGTTATAAATTATTTTTATGAGACAAGTAAATATTTAAGTTAACTTGAAGTTGCAAAAACTGACAATTAGACTATTACTTACTTAGGCATTTTACCATTAATAATATATTATTAAGCCACTACAGTGAAGTTGAGTCTGTATCAGCTGGTCCAGTGCTGGATGTAGTGCTGGATGATTGTTAATGTTAATCCATGTAGAATTGAGATCCATATGGATTAATTTTCCCTTATAGACGGAGAGGCAGAGCCAAAAAAAGTCTGAATTTATTAAGCCTGGTTTCTTCTCAAGTGATTACAATCATAATTTACAATAAAATGCTACGGTCAGTCAAGCGGATATTAGAACAGGTGTCTCAGGTGCGCGGTCTAACATGTCGTGACCACCGACATAATAAAATCAATTTCTTAAGGCTGAAATTTTATGAACTTTTGTTTCTTTATATATAAATCAAAATTATGATAGTTAGTCAACGTCCTATGGGGACACAGCTGGTCAGTCAGCTGTAATGTACGTAGCGAGTTTTATAAGGGTGCAATTCGTTTATTAAGCGTGAATTTTTTTAGTAACTACTATATTATTAATAAATAAAATGGTCAGTCAACTATTCCGTAGAACAACGCCTAAATTATGATTATAATCACTTGAGAAAAACCAGGCTCAATAAATTCAGATACTTTTTTTGGTTCTGCCTCTTGGACCATTATCTTAACCCAGATTATATACCATTATTAATTATCATAAATCAATAAGGTCTTTCTAGCCTTTAATATAGTTGCATGTCATTATTTATGTGCGTATTTTGTTCTTCTTGCTTAGTAATACAAGATTCTACCCTAGTACAGGATCCCTTGCGACTGGTTAAAAATGTATCATTGTAATCAATAAATGATTTAACATTTGATTTAATTTGATATTTAGTGTGGCAGCTTGCGCAGGTGTGAGGCAGTTCTGTAGATAGAGATGTCGGTGCGCAGGTACTTCCTGGAGGTGCTGACGTCGGGGCGGCTGTCGGGCGAGTGCAACGAGATCCAGCTGCACGCCGACGGCAGCTGGTCGGCGCACGCGCCGCCGCCGCGCGCGCCCGTCCCCGTGCCGCCCGCGCCCGAGCCCGTCACGCTCATACCCGACGACCTCGGTACCTGCCCCCCTGCTTCCCCTCTCTAAACTCTACTCACAATCAACCTTGTATATCGGCTAACTTCCTATTTCAAAACAATATATCATATAGAGCTGCTTTTACCAAATTATTATTGCCAACAGTGTTGCATGATACTGTGGCGGCGCTGCCCGGGGAGCGACCAATCGAAGCGTTGGCCGCTCCCTGGGCAGAACACCTTACCCGGCGGGAGATCTCCCCTTTTCCTTCCACCGGCTACAATACTTATAACACCAACATAAGTTATCAGGTCGTACTGTGGAATATTGCCTTGGAACTTCTTACTTCGAGAAACAAAATACGATGGCGGTTAATCTAAAATTGGCATTCAATCCTTTCTGTAACATGTCTGAGTCATTAGTTGCATCGCTCACACGGCTTAAGTCAGTCATCGAAAGCGTCTAGACTGGGCAATCGTGCGGTGCGATACGGGTTGAGACGCGGGTGGGGCGCTCCCGAACATTTATTTGTAAGCCGTTCGGGAGCTGTCCAGCAGGGCTATCCTGTCACATTGCAAATAATGAAAAAAATGGGTGCGATAAACAAAATGGCGGTATAACAAGAATTTAAAATCCGATTATGAAATAACAGCCATTCCAGTTTTGTGATGCAGGCAAATCTTCCGAGAAATACCTGATAGCAACTGGTTTTTATGTAGACTTTTTGAACCAGAACTTTTTTCATTTTTAAGGGATTTTAAATTTAAAAAAACAAATACATTGGATACTGCGGCTATTGAGCTAAGGATTCTCCCAGAGTCTTTACAATGTCTTTTTCCCACAGAAATAATTCCTGTCGATGGCACGGGTGGCGTAAAACGAGCAGCAGTAGGAGAAGCGCGTACTGCGAAACCAACGGAATTGCTTGTAGATCTCACGTCTGATTCTGATGATGAGGTGCCCCTCAAAAGAAAGGTGCCACAGTCCAAACAAACGCCGCCAATAATCGAGACAAATAATTTCAAGACTGATGATTATGCCTCCTCAAATGGTAAGTCACCATTTTATAAATAAAATATTTGTACATTAAAATTTATATCATATCATATTTTCTTTTAAAAACATTACTAAGTTAAAAATCTTGTAAACAAAGTTTTAATTTAAGTATTTTGTGTTATTATAACTTAATATATTTTAATTGCAAAAGACAAGTGTAGGTAGGTATGTAAGTAAGTATTTGGATAGTGAAGTCTATACAAATAAATAAAATTGAAGTGTCTGTTTGTAACGTTAAAATAACACCTTTTTACTAAATGTATATTAAAGTATATATGGTACTTAACACTTAAAAATGTTGTCTGTCTGTTTGTTCCGGCTAATCTCCTAAACGGGTGGACCGATTTTGACGGGACTTCAAATAGCTGATGTTATAGGGAGTAATTTAAGCTAATAATATAAATAATAAATAATGAGTTGTGCGTAAAAAAAAAACATAAAATCCAATTCCACGCGGGCGAAGTCGCGATAAACAGCTAGTTTCAAATAAGTTTTGTAATAAAGTACTTAGGTATTACTTCTGTAGTTAAATTATTTCTTAATTATTTTTTCGCTAGGTACCTATCTAACAAAAAAATTAAATAAATTCACCTTTCATTATCCTTCGGTAACATAAAAAATAATATATCTGAATCCTTTTGTTTGCTCATTAGGCATCCATCCCATCCCCGCTACAATTATAGTAGGAACGACGTTCTAGATAGGTAATATACATATATATTATTTTTAAATTACATTAAAACTTTTTCAACTATTTTATCCTACAATTAAATATACTAAACATTAAATGAAAACTATTTCAAAAAGTATTTACAAAAAACTATTTACGTAAACAGCGTTAAAAAAAAACTAACATTGAATCGCCTAGAACGCGCTAACCTCGACTGTGTATGTGCGTCCTCGGCGCCTCTCGTTTGTAGGTAATTATTTCACGGTTTTTTTTTTATAGGATAGTGTTACAATCTAGCAGACAGTCCACCTGATGGAAAGTGGTTGCTGTGACCCATATACATCTACATCTATCCTCAATAAAGAATCAAAATGCAGATGCGTTTGGTTGCAACTCTGGTGACGTAAAACACGATTAATCATAGCTGTCTTGACTGATTGTAGTTCGCTTCTATGTTTTTGGGTGCTATAATTCCATCTTTGAGCTATTTCTGAAAAAGTTTTTGATAAATTTTATAACCATAAATAATGGTTTTGAATCTCAAAATGGAGTCAAATTTTATAGATGGATTTATGGTTGCAGATTTCTTTAAGAATAACTGATTGCTACGCTGCCGAACATAAGAATGTAAAAACACCACGTAAGAATTATTTATTTACAAACCTTCAAGTATGATCATCATTCAGAAGTTTCATTTTAGGTTATGTTTATATACTTAGAAATTTCTAGTAAATTAAAAAAATGAAACTATAAAGATGGCTAAACAACATAACAGAAAACATTTGAAACTCTACGGGAAACCCTGTTAGGTTTGGTTGATAAGGATCCTTCCAACTTATGCTGTAAGATTAAGCCATATTAAGAGGTTAGGTTCTAAAGATGTTATTACTTTATAAAAAAAAAACTATATTTAGCTACTATCTAGTACATATAAAGTTAAATATTACTTAATTACTTATATTAAAGTGACCCTAACACATGTAAACATTGGTATGACCTAAAATGCTCTTTAGGTCTCATCGAGCTAATTGTAACCACATTTTTCGTCTTTTGGGATTCTTTGGAACAGAAACAAAGTTTCTGTGGACTACTTATAGTCGTTATTATGGTTATTGCCTTTTATACATATGTGTGACGTCACACATGTCACATGACCAGCGCCATTACAGAATCAGCGTTTAGGAGCAGTTTTGGAAATGTAGACGTTAATACAGTAGATCTCCCGGAAATATTAATGTAGTGTGATTATTATGTAATAAAGAATAATTTAAAACAGTTTTCTAAAATTAGTTAAATAGCCTATTAAATCGCACACAAGGGGAGTGCGCGTACGCGTAGTTGTTGCCCATTAATCACATTCAATTTGGGATAATTTCAAACAAAAGTAGAAGCCTTATTTACTCGATTTTCAAAATTGGCTATAACGGTATGTAATTATTTATATATTTGAACTTAAATATAATATTTGGATACTATTTGAAAAATAACCCTGTTAACACAAAACAATGACTCAGTGCTTCATTTATTTTTTCTGTCGACTTCCAAAAACACGAAACACATTCAAATGCTGAAAAAGGGCTTCATCAGATTTATCTATGGCTGAATAAGAACCTATTAACGCTTAACATTCATAAATCTAGTTATATAACATTCTCTATAAACAAATCCACGCAGCCAAACAGTAATAACTTAAATCTAAAAATTCACGATTGTGATAACGTAAGCTCTTTAACTTGCTCTTGTTTACCATTACAAAAAACTCGCTGTATTAAATATCTTGGTGTTCAACTCGATGAAACACTTTCGTGGACTTCACACTTAGATCTTCTATCTGCAAGAACACGTAAGCTAATATGGATCTTTAAAAAACTTAGAAATGTACTCAAACTAACATTATTAAAAACGGTTTATTATGCTCTAGCTCAGTCGATCTTAAGCTACTGCATCTCTGTTTGGGGTGGAGCGTGCAAAACTAAAATAATTAAGGTGGAACGCGCACAGAGATCTCTGCTTAAAGTAATGCTAAGAAAGCCTTACCGATACTCAACATTCAGTTTGTACAAAGAAAGTAAATTACTGACTGTAAGACAACTATTCATATTAAACCTAACTTTGCGCAAGCACAAAGAACTAACCTATGACCCTAAAATTATTGATAACCAGCGAAGAAACAATAGAATATGTAGTATAATGAGACATAATACTGCCTTCTTCAGAAGACAATCTTGCTTTCTCGCCCCTTATTTATACAACAAAATAAATTCATTATTAAACATCTATCCAAAAACTTTGTATGAATGTAAGTTTTATTTAAAAAAATATCTTTCAAAGCTTGGTTATGACGACACTGAATCATTTGTTGCTATTGTAAGCTAATACACACGCACGCACGCACACACACTCACTCTCACACACACACTTAACACAACCCCCCCCCACATACACACACACACACACACACACTTTCCGACAAACTTGGAAGTAGTCAGCGAGCGAGTGACCTGGAGTCCTGAAATACAGGGACACCCTAGTTTAGGCTCCAGTCCACCGCAAAAAAATATATTAAAATATTTAATATTTCTTAAGTTTTGTTAGTAGACTTATCTATATACTTTTGTGGTGGAGAAATAAATATATAATATATAAAAAGGAGACGGTACTCGATTCGACCGTATGTTTTTTTATGTTTGTTACCTCATAACTTTTTACTGGGTGAACCGATTTCGATGATTCTTTTTTTATTTGAAAGCTGGTACTTCTCGTGTAGTCCCATATGAATTTGATCAAGGTCAGACCAATAGTTTTTGAGTTATTCTTAATAACTTATATTGAAGTCGGCTGTACAAAAATTTTCATTTTATATTATATACGTTTGAATTTTTGTTAAATTATACTTTTAGGAATATACATAGTTTGGTTTATTTAATTATAATTTAATTAATATATAATGTAAACATTAATCGCTACACTTTTCTAACACATGCCCTGCTATGAAATCTGTTAAATACATTACTTTATTGACAAAGTGTCAAGTATATTAAGAATATCTTTTATTATAATTTATTTTAAAATTTCTTCACAATATCTTGATGTATAACATTGTAAAGGCTTTGGTTGGTTTTGATGACAGGTTTTTAGTCAGCAGACAGTCAATGATGATGGTATTTTAAGCAAGTTGATATCACCATTAGAGCATTTATTTCAATGTATCGAGTGATAGTTCATATGCGCAGGTATTAAATATACAAAATCGCATAATATTTAAACAATAATATCGTGATGTCTCCATAAGTCGTGGATGTTGTAATTAGATATGGGCCATTAATAGTTTTTTTATATAGAATAGGTGTCACAAACGAGCATGCAGTCCGCCTAGTGGTAAGTGGATGCTATGACCTATAGACATCTATCTACATCTATTCTTGACTAAGAATCAAAATACAGATGAATTGTAATTCCTGAGAACAAAGGTGGAATGCCTTATTTCCAGTAAAAAGGGTCTACGGTTTTAAATACCTCACCATACTATTTTCATCGTATTCTGTGAGAGTGTGGTCCTATCCCGGTAGAGCTGACCCATTCGTGCTACAACCATAATATAGTTTTGCAGCATGGTTTCACCATGTAGTATATTACTAATACAGCTTATTAAAAGTCCCATGCTGAACATAGGCCTCTCTCATAGATTGCCTCCTTTTCTGTAGTTGTCACGCTTGGCGGGCGGGTTGACAACCGCAGTTTTTTATGTATAGTTTTTATTAGGACGACGCTTCTGCCTATCTGCTGGTTTGTTTCCCTCTGTCGCCTCATACATACCACACCCACGAAATGATATGAGGTAGTGGATATTGTCACTACGGCGCTACACGGCGCGGTACGTAGTGTAGTATAGAATACAAGATTGGTGTGTGTTGCAGCGGTGGAGGCGGTGTCGTCGAGCGGGTACCGGTCGCCGGGCGGGTGTGGCGCGGGGGGCGGGGCGGGCGCGGGAGGCGCGGGGGGCGCGGCGGGCGTCATCTCGCTGGACAGCCCGTCGCCGCCGGCGCGCGCCTCGCCGCCGCCCGACGCCGCGCCCGACCCCGCGCCCGCGCACTCCTCGCACTCCGCGCACTCCACGCCGCCCGACCACTGTACGTACACCTCTTTTTGCCTATTTATTTTAGGTTACGTTCCAATATATATACACTATGACCACTGTAAGGTCAATTCAGTATACTGTGAAACCGTTCCTTTTTTTTTAATTATTCTTAGAAAGAATGTTACTTTTTAAATTTTGTCAAACTGTAAGCCAGTTTGAATAAAACTATTTTTACGGATTTTATCGCGTTTAATTTACTTATTTTATATTCCCGACGTTTCGGTTGCTTTCCAGCAACCGTGGTCACGGGGGACTGAGGTGATTGACGTCCCGCTGTCAAAGTTAACCCGGAGTACCTTCAGCTTTTTAATTATTAATTTTGGTCCGATCTACGCAGAATGAACTAACTGTGTCTTGAAGTCTTACAATGGTATGCTTGGCTTTAGTTTTAATTTTATGAATTACAGGATCCCAAGCAGATGGTAGTACCCAGCCTCCCTCTCTATTGAAATTAGGATGTTTTTTAATTTCAATAGCCTCACGTATCATCCTTGGCAGGAATCGATGTTCTTTCGCGAGGACTTGTGGTTTATCAAATCTAATGTAATGACGGGGACCGTCTAGGATATGATCACAAACTGCAGACTTCCCGGAACGTTGGTGCTTCACGTCAGCTATGTGTTCTTTTACGCGGGTTTTTATTGATCGTTTTGTTTGCCCTATATATGAGAGACCACACTCACAATCAAGCTTGTATACTCCTGCATCTTGTAGAGGAATATTGCACTTGACGGATGGTAAGAACTGACTAATCTTCTTCGGCGGCTTGAAGAATGTTCTAATAGAAGCTCGCTTCAAGATGTAGCCAATCTTGTCTGTGACACCTCTGACATATGGTAGTACAGCAGGCACACGCTCGACTGTGGCCGGCTTCACTCGGTCACTGTGACGTAGGCGCGGAACCCGAAGCTTGTTGTCGTGCAGAACCTGCTTGACGTGCTGAAGCTCGGCGGCCAGGTGTTTGCTGTCACAGATCCCTCGTGCTCTCTGCAACAAAGATTTGCCCACGGTAGCTAACTGTGAAGGGTGATGGTGGGATTCACCGTTTAAGTATCGGTTTGTATGGGTCTTTTTTCTATACACAGTGTGACCTACGGTGTTATTAGGATTTCGAATGACTAACACATCTAGGAAAGCTAAAGAATTATTTGCCTCTAACTCCATAGTAAATTGAATTTTAGAGTTTATGGAATTAAGATGTTCTAAAAATGCAGTTACTTTGTCTGATGGTAAAATTGTGAAAGTATCGTCTACGTACCGCTTGTAGAAACTTGGAGTTACTGGTGCAGTAAGCAGGGCTTTCTCCTCAAAGTCCTCCATGAAAATATCGGCGACAATGGGAGATACCGGTGAGCCCATCGCAACACCATCTACTTGCTTGTAAAACTGTTCCTTCCACAATAGGTAGCCAGATGTAAGGCAATGTCTGAGTAATACTGCATATTCTGCTGGCATGTTGTTTTCCTCTAGTTTCCTAGTTATAATTGAGATGCAGTCTTCAACAGGTAGGCATGTAAATAAAGACTGAACATCAAAACTGACCATAGTTTCATTGTCAGTAAGACATAGGTCTTTTATCTCACTGACAAAATGGTATGAATCCTTAGTGTGTGCTCTTGTATGTCCTCTGAGTGGTGATAGTACTTTTGCTAAGTGTTGAGCCAATCTGTAAGTTGGCGAATCGATCTGACTCACTATTGGACGTAATGGAGCGTTCGGTTTGTGTATTTTTGGTAACCCATACAACTTCGGCGGTTTGGCACACGTAGGTATTATCGAATTTACGTCTAGATTCAGTTTCTCGGAGTATTTCTTTATTAGACCGCTAGTTGTTTTAAGCGTATTAGTTGTAGGATCTGTTTTGACCTTTACGTACGTACTTTCATTCGATAAAAGTTGTTGTATTTTAAAATTGTAATCCGACGTATCCATTATAATGTATTTTAAAATTGTAATCCGACGTATCCAAGACCTATGTCTTACTGACAATGAAATTATGGTCAGTTTTGATGTTCAGTCTTTATTTACATGCCTACCTGTTGAAGACTGCATCTCAATTATAACTAGGAAACTAGAGGAAAACAACATGCCAGCAGAATATGCAGTATTACTCAGACATTGCCTTACATCTGGCTACCTATTGTGGAAGGAACAGTTTTACAAGCAAGTATTTTTTTTTTTTTTTATAGGAGAGGGGGCAAACGAGCATGCGGCTCACCTGATGGTAAGTGACTACCGCCGCCCATGAACAACCGCAACACCAGGGGAATTGCAGATGCGTTGCCGGCCTTTTAAAAAGGAGTAGGCTCTTTTCTTGAAGGTCCCTAAGTCGTATCGGTCCGGAAAAATCGCTGGTGGTAAACTATTCCACAAGGAAGTTGTGAGAGGAAGAAAACATCTTCTAAATCGCACAGTGGTGGACCGCCAATCATCCAGATGGTGTGGATGGTATCGGGAGTTCTGCCGCGATGTGCGTTCGTGAAATTTGGCGGCTGGGATTAATCCGAACAATTCCTCAGAGCACTCCCCATGGTAAATGCGAAAGAAAATGCTAAGAGATGCAACATCTCTTCGCAGTGCCAATGAGTCGAGCCGATCGGAAAGGACTCGGTCGTCGACGATTCGAGCCGCTCTGCGCTGGATGCGGTCAAGTGGAAGAAGCTGGCACTGGGGAGCCCCAGCCCAGAGATGGGAACAGTATTCCATGTGAGGCCGAACCTGCGCCTTGTAAAGTTGCAGGCGTTGAGCCGGCATGAAATACTGTCCCGCTCTGCTGAGCACGCCAAGCTTTTTAGAGGCCAATTTGGCCTTCTCTTCCAAGTGACCACGAAACTGCACGCTACTCGATATGTCGACGCCGAGGATTCCGATACTGGCTGAGGCAACAAGGGGAGTACCTTGAAACTGAGGAGATACGACAAAGGGGTTCTTTTTAGCGGTAAACGCGCAAACTTGTGTCTTCTGAGGATTAAACTGGACTAGATTTAGTCGCCCCCAATCCGAGACTTTGTCCAGCAAAGACTCGACTTCAGACACAAGTTTGTTCCGGTACTCAGTGACGTTTTCCCGAGAAATATTGGCACGGCCGGTGTATAGAGCATCACCAGTACTGTCATCCGCATAGCAATGAATGCTACCGGCTTGCAACATATCATTGATATGCAGAAGAAACAGCGTTGGTGATAGCACGCAGCCTTGTGGAACACCAGCGTTAATAGGCTTGTAGTCGGAGCATGCACCGTCTACAACGACCTTGATGCTCCGATCTGCAAGAAAGCTGGTGATCCAATTGCATAATTTCTCGGGAAGCCCATAGGAAGGGAGCTTCGAAAGAAGCGCTTTGTGCCAAACCCGATCGAAGGCCTTCGCAATGTCCAAACTAACGGCCAATGCCTCCCCCTTGGACTCTACTGCCAACGCCCATCTGTGAGTTAAGTAGACCAGAAGATCACCAGCTGATCGACCCCGACGAAAACCGTACTGGCGGTCACTAATCAGCTGGTGATCTTCAAGGTACCGCATGAGGTGGCAGTTTACAACGGATTCCATTATTTTGGAGAACAAGGGGGTGATGGCGATAGGCCTGTAGTTGGACGGGTCTGAGCGGTCGCCTTTTTTAGGGATCGGGTGGACAAAAGCTGTCTTCCATGATTTCGGGACTACGCCTAGGGAGTAGGAGTACCGGAAAAGACGCGTTAGAACCGGTGCTAACTCCGGAGCACACGTCCTCAGCACAATTGGGGGGATTCCGTCAGGCCCACTCGACTTGTGGATGTCAAGGGAGAGGAGTGCTCTGCGAACCGAGCGCTGTGAGAACCGCACATCCGGCATGGAGCACTCACACCGCGGGAAGGTCGGCGGTGTGTTCCCCCCGTCATCAACAGTCGAGTTGGACGCAAAAAGGGAGCCTAAAAGGTCGGCCTTCTCTTTTGCGTCGTGGGCCAGTGAGTCGTCCTCCCTGTGCAGAGATGGTAGTGATGGCTTACAGAAATTCCCTTGGACAGCCTTGGCGAGAGACCAGAATGCACGGGTTCCCGAAGGAAGGCAAACTAGTTTCTCGCCAATTCTGCCTATGTGCTCTGACTTTGCCTTGGCAATAACTCTTTTGAAGGACCTGGAGGCGAAGTTATACTTCTTTTTGAGTGTGCTGGTGTTTACATCCCGAGTCACCGAAGCCGCAGCCCAGGCTTGATAACACTCCTGCTTACTGCGTAATGCAGTCTTACAGGAGCGACCAAACCAAGGCTGAGATCTGCCTCCGATGGGTACCACAGATGATGGAATAAATAGTTCCATTCCCTGTAGCACCACATCAGTGACAGAGTCAGCAACAGCGCTGGGATCATCCGGCGAGAAGCAAACCCGCCCCCAAGTAGATGGTGTTGCGATGGGCTCACCGGTATCTCCCATTGTCGCCGATATTTTCATGGAGGACTTTGAGGAGAAAGCCCTGCTTACTGCACCAGTAACTCCAAGTTTCTACAAGCGGTACGTAGACGATACTTTCACAATTTTACCATCAGACAAAGTAACTGCATTTTTAGAACATCTTAATTCCATAAACTCTAAAATTCAATTTACTATGGAGTTAGAGGCAAATAATTCTTTAGCTTTCCTAGATGTGTTAGTCATTCGAAATCCTAATAACACCGTAGGTCACACTGTGTATAGAAAAAAGACCCATACAAACCGATACTTAAACGGTGAATCCCACCATCACCCTTCACAGTTAGCTACCGTGGGCAAATCTTTGTTGCAGAGAGCACGAGGGATCTGTGACAGCAAACACCTGGCCGCCGAGCTTCAGCACGTCAAGCAGGTTCTGCACGACAACAAGCTTCGGGTTCCGCGCCTACGTCACAGTGACCGAGTGAAGCCGGCCACAGTCGAGCGTGTGCCTGCTGTGTACTACCATATGTCAGAGGTGTCACAGACAAGATTGGCTACATCTTGAAGCGAGCTTCTATTAGAACATTCTTCAAGCCGCCGAAGAAGATTAGTCAGTTCTTACCATCCGTCAAGTGCAATATTCCTCTACAAGATGCAGGAGTATACAAGCTTGATTGTGAGTGTGGTCTCTCATATATAGGGCAAACAAAACGATCAATAAAAACCCGCGTAAAAGAACACATAGCTGACGTGAAGCACCAACGTTCCGGGAAGTCTGCAGTTTGTGATCATATCCTAGACGGCCCCCGTCATTACATTAGATTTGATAAACCACAAGTCCTCGCGAAAGAACATCGATTCCTGCCAAGGATGATACGTGAGGCTATTGAAATTAAAAAACATCCTAATTTCAATAGAGAGGGAGGCTGGGTACTACCACCTGCTTGGGATCCTGTAATTCATAAAATTAAAACTAAACCCAAGCATACCACTGTAAGACTTCAAGACACAGTTAGTTCATTCTGCGTAGATCGGACCAAAATTAATAATTAAAAAGCTGAAGGTACTCCGGGTTAACTTTGACATCGGGACGTCAATCACCTCAGTCCCCCGTGACCACGGTTGCTGGAAAGCAACCGAAACGTCGGGAATATAAAATAAGTAAATTAAACGCGATAAAATCCGTAAAAATAGTTTTATTCAATGTGTAGTGTTCGCGTAAATATAAGAAATCATTATGTAAGCCAGTTTGTCGGCAACGCAACAGTTTATCGTTTCATACTCCTTAATAACAATATATGTTACTTATAAATACTTAAATTAACACAAATAATTAAAGAAACATTCACTACTAAGGAGACAACGACAGGTAATGTTTCCTCAAGGTGGTTTTGAGCTACGACTTAGTCGCTTTCGTCATAAATATCCGCCACCTCATTACACAAGGTCGAAGTTATCCATTGCCTTGTACGTCATCCAAAGTAATTTTCAACCCTAGGTATGAGATATTTCCTCTTGTGTAACTTGGCGCTTCTGCATTATATATGTCTTAGGTTTCTTAAATGTTACCATACCATGCTGTTCTAATATGATGATGGATTTTACTTTCTTGTCTATGGGAAGAATTCTGCAAATTTTAAATAACATTTCATAATTTTTATCTAGAACATTTTTGATTTTAGGATTTAGTTTGCTATATTGCTGGTTACTGTTTAAAAAGGAACACAGTCCCGCATACTAATATCCCCATTTTTCTACACTGTAAATATCAAATGAAAATATTTATCATGTACACGTTTTCCGTTTAACGAGAATAATTATTATTTGAATGTTGTTGCTTTTAAAACTTAATGTCCAAGTTTATTTGAATAACAATATTAATTAATAATAATAACAATCATTCATAGAAGCTCTTAAATCTCTAGGCACTGTTATGGTTTTTGATCATGTGATCAAAGTACTGAGAGCACCTTACCTCGAAAGTACCAGTGCTCACAGCAAAAATGGTGGCGATTTATGACGACATATTTTCCTAGGGTACTGCGACAGCATACTGGTCCATAACAAAACAAATGTTTCACCAGTGAGAGCACTGAGCAGTGCTCGCAGTGTATATCGGAATTATAGCCTGATAAGTCTGGCTGAATCCATTCATCCAACCATCCATCCATCCATTACAGCCTATAAAAGTCCACTGTTTAAGTGTGTTACCACACCAATTAATGGATGTGATTGTGGGCTTATCATAATTCATATTACCATCAATTATTAAATTTTTAATACAAAATAATCAATCTCAAACTACAAAAAGATTTATTACTATTACATTAGGAATTTATTTTATTATTCTTCAAATATATGAATATTTTGAAGCAACTTTTACTATTGCTGATAAAATTATGGATCAACTTTTTTATAGCAACAGGATTTCATGGATTACATGTAATTATTGGAGCAATCTTTCTAATATCATGTGTTTTTCGTCATTTAATAATAATTTTTCAAATTAACATCATTTTAGATTTGAGCAGCATAATATTGACACTTTATGTAGTATGATTATTCCTTTATATTTCTATTTATTGACGAGGATCGATTCATGGCACCGATCGATCAATGGCATTGATCGATCGGTGTAGTAGAAATTATCGGTCGACCTCGACTAATCCATTCTAATCGACCGACGGTCGATCGATTGGTGTGGTAACACCCTAACATAGGCCTCATAGGTTGTCTGATACAGGAGAAAATCCCTAGTGTGGAGGTAACTTTTTTTTAAATAAAATCTAAGAACTACTGCTATGTTTTCCATTGCTTTTTTTTCATTGCTTGTACTACTGTGTTCTAGTCTGAAAGGTATAATTACAGACTGGCAGGTGACAACGTTTCTGTATTCTAATTTGTTTGAAGTTGGCTGCAGATGTCCTCAGCCTACAATAACCACTTCCATCAACTGAACTGTAACTTCGTTTGTAACTTTGCTATTTTGAAAAGAAAATATTGCTAAAATGTAGTTATTCTATTAAGAAAATAAAAAAAGATATTAATAGAAACTAATCATTTTATTCAATATTAATCATTCAAGTGTTACTACTGGTTCAGAAGAAGCTTCTATTCTGGGAAGAACTACCAAGAAACCCAGCAGGACTTTTTTATACATTAATTTACAACATAATATTTTATACAAATAACCATTTGACTGTCCACTGAATCATATAATATAATAGGTCGGGGGAAAAGTTTCTTCATATTTTATAAACAAATTCAAGACATTTTTTTCAAAGTTATATACATTTAATTATAATATATTATAATATATATTATGTGCTATTTTGTTCTATAACTTGTTGGCATATTGTTGGTAGTGACAATCCCGTTGCTAAAAAAAATTTAGGATTTTTGATTAAAAAAAATGCGATAAGTAGTTTTGACAGTCCTCTCTTGATGTTAACCTAACACTACCCAAAGAATTCTGAAGAGACCGAAACAGGATCTGATCAGATCTGAAATCTGAGGATGCTAGGTCAGGACTATATGGTGAATGTATTAACACTTCCTAACCAAGCTCTCTCAATTTTTGCTGAGTGGCCAAAAATGTGTGTAGTCTGGCATTATCATGATGAAAGACCACTCCTTTTTTGTTCATCAATTCCGGTCGATTTTTCTCAATTTCTTGCTTGAGTCTCATTCGTTGTAAAGATTCGAATATCGAGCTCATAATAAACGATGCCATTCCAATCCCACCATACACACTGCATCACCTTATTGCGTGTTAATCCGGGTTTCGCTATAGTGTGTGGAGCTTGACTATTCTTTGACCATGGTCGTTTTCGCATGTTCTTGTCGTGGGTAATCCACTTTTCATCACCAGTGATCAATCTTTTCAAAAATAGTTCGGTTTCATTACGTTTCAATAGAAAATCGCAAATGAGTACACAATTCATTAGGTTTCTTTTAGTGAAATAGTGTGTTACCCAAAGCAATTGGAGATTCATTAAGCAATTTATAAAAGTCTGTCAGGTATGTGATATCATTCTTTGATGTGATGAGGTTGTCGCGTAATTCTGTGTCTTTGTTTTTGAAGAACTCTACGACAGAGTAAAACAGATTGTAAAATCGAGTCAAACAATTTCCTTTTGATAGCCAACGCATTAAACCTAACCTAAACTTTATTATAAATTATAATATAATTTATTTGCAAAATAAGTAGTTTTTTTTTTTAATTTAAGTAGTTTTAATATTCAGTTTTTATAATATATTGTTACGAGCTTTGGGTTCGAGACAATTATTAAACTGCCGATTGAATTACCAAAATTGACACTAATTACAACTTAAAACCACACTAATAATAAAACACAATTGTACTACTGATCACTTTAGTACGCAGTTATATCGCTACGATGTATTCGCTTGTATCGCCAATTCAATACTGACTCGGTCGTGGTCTATACCGGCCTTATATAGGGCCACAAATAGTTTCCAGAACCTTCTACTGTAGAAACATCTAGAATGTTCGAGTACATATCGGTCGCGAAATTTCTAGAAGGATCTTGACTCTCCTAGTTCTGCTACTCGATACTAGAGGGCGCTAGTGGTAACTAGTGTTGCCATGTACAAGACATTAATAATGGCGCGCAACAATATGGCCATCAGAAGGGCGCCGATAAGATGCTAGCCCTTAGGCTCTGTCGACATTTAATTCGCTTCTGTGTACAAACACTTCAGCACTTCGATATACCGACAGTACACTTGGCACCGCTGAAGGGCCTGCAGCACCGCCCATATTTCGATGGAATCAAAGGCTTTCTCATAGTCCACATACGCAAGACAAAGTGTTGACTCTTCCGACTCAAAAGGTTGCCGATCCCTGACATATACCAATAAATTTTCCATAAATTATTCAGGCACAAGCAACAGCACCGAACGCGAGGATAATGAATCTGCAGCTGCACACTGGGCGCCGTATGCTGATGCCGACCGGGAAAATCACGACTCGTATCGAAGGTATGAAAATTAACAACTTAACAGTAAATATTGTTTTGAACTAAATATTTATTACTATATATTCTTATTCTACTTGCAACAGCTCTTCTTCCCTTTCGCTTGTGGATGCTTTGGATGAGCCTGTTACGTTGTATTCATTAATTAGTGTTGCTTTCACAATTGTCACTTAAATGCACAAAGTATTCCTCAACATAACTACAGAGCTTCTGGATACATTATCTTCAACAACATCTCATGTTGTTCTCGTATCTGAAAGCTGGCTTGCACCAGAACTTACTTCTACGTCCTATAGTCTCCCAAAATTTTAGATACTTCTCCATCTTCTTATTCTTCCAATGGAATACATATTTGTTGAAGTGTTCCTTGGAGTCGACTTCTCTCCACCTCAAGTGGACTACTTCTCCAATTTGGAAGAAAATTTGTCGTCATTCTGTGCTTACACACATCACATTGTCATGGGAGACTTTAAAACCGACCTCTTGGTGGCTTCTCTCAAATCAAACAAATTGAAACTCAAAAAAACAAAACAGTCTCACTATTCTGCTATTAAATGCTATACATTATATTACCAACTCTGCGGACACATGAATCGACCATATAATCGTCTCCTCTATTGACCGTGTGGCCAAATATGACCAATTTTCTGCTTCTAGTTTTTCATTTCTTTCATACAAATTAAAGTCTCCCAATGCTACATCAGTGTATGTAGTTTTGCTAGACTGGATGTTGAAAAGTTTAAGCGCGTTGCTGATGAAATTGACTGGTCTTCTGTGTTTGCTGCGTCTACAGTTGATGACAGAGTCAATATCCTAAACGACAATATATGTATTAAGACTCACATAGATAGACAATTTATTAAGACACATTGTGAAAAAGAAGACAAAACGCTATAGATGTTTGCTTTTACATATTGCTATGTCTGAAAAGGTACATGTACATGTTTGTGCGGTGATATATATAATAACAATATCACATGTAATGCAATTATTAAAACTATAGAAATAAACAAAATTGAAATGTCTGTTTGTAATGTCAAAATGACAGCTTTTTACTAAATGTTAATGAAAGTATATGTAGTATATAACGGTACTTATTATTATTAAAAAAAAAACTATTTTTAAAATGTTTGTCTGTCTGTCTGTTTGTTCCGGCCAGTCTCCAAAATGTCTGGACTGATTTTGACGGGACTTACACTGACAAATAGCTAATGTTTAACGACTAACTTAGGCTACTTTTATTTTAGATAAAGATTAGGGTTCCGCGCAAAATAAAACCATGAAAACAAATCGTATTAATAAACAGCCTACTAATACAACGCACCTGCAAACCTGCATTATAGGCTAAGATATTAGGATGCGTATTTTTGATTTAGCTTTTAGTTACTTCAATCATAGTTTAACAAACGTACTTTAAAATAAATATATTATTATTTCCACCCTCAAAGAGAGGTTTTCTGTCTATAGAACATAACAATATATTTAAGATCTTTTCTTCTGCTTCTTACTTTATCAGCCTGTAAAAGTTCACCGCTCCCTGTTATATTTAAGAGTATTTGTCGTGATCGCCACGCTAAACATGCAGATTGGCGATCACAGCAACAAGTATCACACTTTTGATGTTGTTCCCCGTCGTCGGTCTAAGTATTTTATATCTGGTATATACGAAATGGCTATACCGACATATAATGGAGGCTAGCTGTCTCTTACGACATCCACGGAACGGAACATTACTATATAATGAATTCTCACACGCCGCTATCATATAAGCTAAGATAATGTTATAAATGTATATGATTAATTAATAATTTTTTATACATGGTATGTATTTTATTTTATACATAATGTTTATCGCCTGAAAAATTTTCTTCCTGCCGCTACGAAAGTTTTGCTTGTTCAATCTCTTATTCTGCCGATAATGGACTATGTAGACGAGTGTTGCACAGACTTATCTCATCAGCCTCTTAATACATTGGATTGTCTCCTCAATAACTGCATCAGATATATTTATGGTCTTCGTAAATATGACCATGTATCTTCATTTCGTACTCAGCTTAACTGGCCGCCTATCCGTCAGCGCAGATATGTTAAAATGCTCTGCACTCTTTTCACTATCCTGAACGATCCTTGCGCTCCTGACTACTTGAAATCTAAATTTCAGTACCTAGGAAACAATCATCATGTCCCCTCTGTTGAGATTTATTGAGAGCTATCTAACCGCTGTACGATTAGGGGTGTGCGTACCCCTGTCTCACTGCTTAGCGGCCGGTAGCTAGCCGGCGGTACAATGTCCGTCTCATAATAAAATATGTCCTTCCAATCCCACCATACACACTGCATCACCTTATTGCATGTTAATCTGGGTTTCGCCCCAGTCCGTGGAGCTTGACTACCCCTTTGACCATGATCTTTTTCACATGTTCTTTTCTTAGGTTATCCACTTTTCATCACCAATCTTTTCAAATTGTGATCAGTCTTTTCAAAAATGGTTCGGTTTCATTACGTTTCAATAGAGAATCTAAAATGAGTACAAAATTCATTAGGTTTCTTTCAGTGAGCTCGTGTGGTACCAAACATCAAGCTTTTTGTATATCCAGTCTTTTTCAAATGGGTCAAAACTGTTTTGTGGTCAATCCTTAATTCCTCGGCTATGACGTTATTACTAATATGCTGATCTTGCTCCACTTTTTCAAAAATGGTATCGACTTTATCCGTGTGACGACAACCAGAGCGAACAGCATCTTTGTCATCAATATTCCGGACTGAAAACGCTTGAACCAACTTTGTGCTACTCTTACTGACGCTGCATTAGGTCCATAAACGTCACAAATTTTTTTCGCGTCTTGAGTCGCATTTTTCCCTTTTTCTACCGACTTCAAAAAGGAGATGGTACTCAATTCGACTGTATGTTTTTTATGCGTGCTATCTCGTAACTTTTTACTGGGCGAACCATCGATATGTATGTACTACGTACTAGATTGCGCATTCCGAACATACCCTATGTTCAACTGAACTGTACTGCAATCCGTACAGTGTGTCATTTAGTGTGGCTTCAATCTACTAGTTAGTCTGTGGTGGCGCAACTGCGTATGCGCGACTCTACTATCTCTCGCGCATGCGCCAAGACATAGAGTAGTGCACATTTTGATGTGACAACGTCTTCTAATTCGATGAAGCTGGCTGCACGCACGAAAAAACATGACTCATGCGGCGTTACCTCGCTCTGAGGCGTTCCATTTAAGGCTTGAAGTGCAAGCGAGAGCGCGGAACGAGCGACAAAGAGGCACAATCGGCCTCCGCGTTCGGCAGCGTTCGACATCTGTCTCTCTCCTACTTGAGTGAGCGATGCGTCCGCATGGACAGCTGCTATACAATAATACATTTACATGTTTTCGTCAAGTATGAAGTGCGGTGAAAAGTGAATGTGGTGTCAATTGTTTATAGCAACGATAATTGCGGCGCTAAAGGTAATGATTCTTTCGATATGAAATATATGTTCAGTGATATATTGTCGAATATTCGTGCTTTCATCATTAAAATAAATAGCATCGGTCCGCTAGTGCAGCGATTGTAGGTTATGCTATAATTAACAAAACTATAACAATAAGTTAACAGAACTATTTCACGATGAGTACAAAATCAATTGCTTTACTATTCGATCGAAATAATTATGGAGCGTAGCTATGATTTCAAAAATTAAAACATATCACATATCATAACAACGTGTCTGAAATGACAGGTTGGACCAGCCAGCCGTCAAAGGGAACAATTTTCTCTTATATCAAACACATTGAGGCGGGCTTTTTAAAAGCTAGAGTTACAAAAATTTTAATGATGTTTCCAAATTTAAGATTTATGAACAATAATTTAATCACAGTTTATTCTTATAATAAATTATCCAAAATTATTACTTTTTTACATTTTACATTTACAACAAATTACAATTAAATTTGCAAAAATAATTAAGTAACTAATTGAACAACAACTTTTATTCAGTTTACTTGCTGAAAGAAATAATGTCAATACAAAATTTATTATTATAAAATAATAAAATCAAAAATTAAATTTTAACAGTCTAGTAGAAATTTAAACAATAAATTTTATTTAAGTATTTTGTAAATTTAACATGATTTTCTGAACGAAGAATTTTATGAGAAAATTTTCTAAATTGTTTCGAACGACGATTCATTTTGCAGAACCGCTTACAATCGCACCATGGAAAAACAACCTGACGAACCAGAGGATTTCACGAATGAGCCACTACCTTTGATGAGTGAACCCATGGAGGGTCAAGATGCTGTAGCATCTACTTTAGCAACGCCATTCGCGCAGCCAATAATCGCTGCTTCAAAATCAAAAGCACAAAAACAACGTGAGTACAGACAGCGTATCGCAGCATCTAGAACTCCTGCTCAGGTGGCTGCTGCGAGAAAATCAAAAAACGAAAGACAACGCAACAACAGATTACGCAAAGCTGCTAACTTGGCTATTGCCAGTGGTTCTCTTGAAGCGACAACTACATCTTCATCTCGTTCAGGGGAAGAGTCGAACAATGTTCAAACTAGAAATCAACGACAATACGCGCAACAACAATCTACCACCTCTGCAGATCAATCTGTTGAGCGTGTCAATCTCACAAATGAAGCTGTTGCATCTACCTCTGCGACGCCATTTGCAAAACCAATAACTGCTGCTCCAAAAACAAGGGCAGAAATACAACGTGAATACAGACAGCGGGTTGCTGCATCCAAAACTCTTGCACAGGCAGCAGCTGCAAGAGAAGCACGTAATGTAAGAGATCGAAACAATAGATTATGCCAAGCTGCTAACTTGGCAATTGCCAGTGGTTCTCTAGAAGCGACAACTACATCCTCATCTCGTTCAGGGCAAAGGTTAAACACCGTCCATATTGATACTCAATGACAATTTACCGACCAACAACGTCAAACTTTAGCAACAGAACCAGCAGAAACTACTGTACAACCAAGTACTTCTTCAGATCAAATTGAAGTTCAAACACAATCTACTTGGAACACTAAATGGGCATCATCAATCATGAGATTCAAATCTACTTTTTTACGCTTGCTCGGTCTGCGTCAGACTTTGGTTTAGAAACGACCTTAAACCCATCACTGCAGAACAGCTGAAGGTAATTTCGGATTAGTTTATCAAAGAAAATCGACAACTGAGCAGAGAAGAATATAAACTGGTTTGCAAAACTTGCAAAAAGTCACTGAACAAACAATCGATTCCACCGCTAGGTGGCATCGATAGCAAAAGTTAATGTATTCTCATATTCTGACCCTGACAACGTCTTCTAATTTGATGAAGCTGGCTGCACGCACGAAAAAAGATGACTCATGCGGCGTTACCTCGCTCTGAGGCGTTCCATTTAAGGCTTGAAGTGCAAGCGAGAGCGCGGAACGAGCGACAAAGAGGCACAATCGGCCTCCGCGTTCGGCAGCGTTCGACATCTGTCTCTCTCCTACTTGAGTGAGCGATGCGTCCGCATGGACAGCTGCTATACAATAATACATTTACATGTTTTCGTCAAGTATGAAGTGCGGTGAAAAGTGAATGCGGTGTCAATTGTTTATAGCAACGATAATTGCGGCGATAAAGGTAATGATTCTTTCGATATTAAATATACGTTCAGTGATATATTGTCGAATATTCGTGCTTTCATCATTAAAATAAATAGCATCGGTCCGCTAGTGCAGCGATTGTAGGTTATGCTATAATTAACAAAACTATAACAATAAGTTAACAGAACTATTTCACGATGAGTACAAAATCAATTGCTTTACTATTCGATCGAAATAATTATGGAGCGTAGCTATGATTTAAAAAAATTTAAACATATCACATATCATAACAACGTGTCTGAAATGACAGGATGGACCAGCCAGCCGTCAAAGGGAACAATTTTCTCCTATATCAAACACATTGAGGCGGGCTTTTTAAAAGCTAGAGTTACAAAAATTTTAATGATGTTTCCAAATTTTAAATTTAAGATTTATGAAAAATAATTTAATCACAGTTTATTCTTATAATAAATTATTCAAAATTATTACTTTTTTACAACAAATTACAATTAAATTTGCAAAAATAATTAAGTAACTAATTGAACAACAACTTTTATTCAGTTTACTTCTCTTATGTAATCGTAGGACAAGTGATAAACGTACCAGTCGACGTACAAGAAATGGTTAAATGTTTGCCACGACAATTGGATGAGGACGACGTTATTAATGTAAACATTAAAAGAAAACCTTGCCCACAAATCAATTTACATTAGCGGATACATGTCCAAAAGTACAGTTAATTCGTGGTTAACTGTTCTGCAAAACTCTCCATTATATCGTTTGTACGAAATCAAAGTGGACTTGTCGAGACTGAATCTTGCTTTGCCAGACCTCGATGACGTAAGAGGATGACCCGTCAAACTGTATAGAAGATATCTCCGCAGAACAGAACCCTGAATCTGAGATTCTCGCTTCAAGACAACATACCGTGATGTGGAACGAAGAAGATTGTCTCAATATAGCACCAGGACACCGGGCAACTCCCCTCAGCATCATTTACGACCGTCATGTAGAAGAGTTGTCATTCCTATCCGATATACTATGGAAATCCACGTCGATTCCACATGGGAGTTTCAGTGGCACCTTACACGATGGCAACCAGTGAAATACGACGAAGCGATAGACGCGGAGCCACGCCTCAAAAAATCTTGTACGTAGCAATGAAAATTTTGCGGCTACGTATGGTGGATGGAATTTACAGCACGTTTCGCAACGTTTCAGTCACAGAAAATGTTACACGACGTATGTTAAAAGACCCAGAATTTCTGAAAGAATATGTCTTACAAAACCTCGCATTCATGAAGACAGTATCAAACTCCGTCCAATACTGGGCCTCTCGCAAACGAGATCTCTTTGCCATGATTCGTCAACTTGGTAAACCAACCATCTTTCTCACTATAAGTGCAAACGAAATACGATGGATGAAATTGCTTACTATACTTCTCAGACTGAGCAATAAATATCCTGGAAAATCAGCAGGAGAACTCAACACTTCCTAGCGCTGTACTTTAGTTAACGACGATCCTGTGACGTGCTGCATTTACTTCTACAAGCTCGTCGGTTCCTTGATGAAAATGCTGGAATCCAAACAGTCCTATAATCCATTCGGAGAGTATTTTGTTTAAGATTACTTCATTCGTATTGAGTTCCAGCCTCGAGGAAGCCCCCACGCACACATTTTATTGTGGTTAAACAACGACCCACATGAAACCCCGTCGGAAAATATGCCAAAAACCATTGAGCTCGTAGAAAAATTGAGTACGGTAGCCCGGAATGATGTACCTAACAATTCCATCTACGCCAACCAGATACACAAACATACTTTCACATGCACGAAGCGAGGTGAGACAATTTGTAGATTCGGAATTCCGTACTGGCCAATGTCTACAACTCGTGTATTGGTTACAATGCCTCAATCTGATAAACGCCGTCGAACACTACAACAGAAGGCGAAAGAGCTGCGTACTTCACTCGATGAACGAAAATGTACGCGGGCATGGATGACTTTCTTGAAGCAAATGTTTTGACACACGATTCATACCTCGACATTGTGCGCTCAACGTTACGCAGACCAACTCTTCTGTTCAGACGAAACTTTGACGAACTTATGACAAACATGTTCAATCCGTACATTGCTGGCGAAGTCAACTCAAACATCGACATTCAATTTATCTTGGATGAATACAGCTGCGCAGAGTATGTTGTGGAGTACGTAAATAAATCAGCTCGTGGAATGGGCAATCTACGTCGTGAGCTTACTACGATGATACAAGAGCAACCCCAACAGGACTACACAGACCAATTGAAAGCTTTAAGCATCAAGCTGCTTAACGCTGTCGAGATGTCAGCGCAAGAAGCAGCATGGTATCCTACGTCAACCAATGAGCGAGACAAGTCGTCAAGTTGCGTACATTCCAACAGTATGGCCGACGGAAAGACAACGTTGCCGCAAACGTCGTCAACAAATGGACCGCAAAGGCCTTAACGAAAACAGTACTGATGTCTGGACCAAAAACATAATCCAGCGCTATGAAGAGCGTCCTGCATCTTTAGAACAAGTGTATTTAGCTGAGTTAGCATCGTGGTATGCTAAAGCTAATGATTTCGTTGACGAGGAGGACGACGTGCACGTAGATAACGAAGAAGAAAGTAAACCCGCAGCAAGAACGTCAAGAGCACAAAATCAATACCGCAGACGACTAATCGGACGTGTCATACGATACAGACATTACGACATGGACGAAACTGTCAATTATAAACGAGAAATGGTTCTACTGTACGTACGCAACGAAATGTTAGAAATTGTTGATCAAAATAAATTTCTCCAATTATTTGACGACAACAAAGACGCGATCATGGAACGCCGTAGTCAATTCGAGTCTAATTTGAACATTGAAAACGGCATGAGAGAACTTGAAGCGATGATGATTTTGCAAAACGAAAACAACAGTAATTTGCGGGAAGAAGAATCCAGAACAAATTTGTTCAACAGTTGTTAGGAGAGGATTGTGCCGAAAACGTCGATGATGTTCACCAAATCATCCCACGATAAGGATTCTCAATTGTAATGAAACGCAGCAATGTAATGTCAAAGCAGCAGTATTGTGAACTTGTACGAACAACTAATCCGGAACAACGGCAGATCATCCTTGAGGTTATACATCGATTGCATGGTTGTGGAGACACTTCTGAAGCAGTTCAAATTTTCTTCACGGGTCCTGCAGGCTGTGGAAAATCTTACACGTTAAAGTGCCTCATGGAGACATACAACCGCTACACTCAATGAACAACGCCTACATTGCCTGTGCAAGCACAGGTAAAGCCGCTGTACCTCTTGGTGGCACTACAGTTCATTCAGCGTTTCGTCTCACAACTTCTCGCGTGACGAAACTCTTATCCACAGAAAATTTGCAAGCTTACAAGAAACATGTTCGTAGGCGTCAAAGCTGTTTTCATCGACGAGATCAGCATGTTAAGTTCAGCTATTCTTCAACAAATTAACTACCGATTGCAGCAGATTACTGGCATATACGACAAACCTTTCGGAGACATTCACGTTATATTATGTGGAGATTTCAGACAGCTTCCACCTGTACGAGCAGCTCCCATGTTATACTATGCCGATCAACCAATTAGGAGGTCTGATTCTTTGGCACAGCATTGATTACTTTCCACTGGTTCGTGTTGTGCGACAAACCGATGAGCGGTTTTCAACAAAAATCGGCGATGGACTTCAACTAAGCAACGCAGACATAAAACTCAGGCTTGGTGCAAGGAAAACGTGCCTGATGCTGTCAGGCTGTATTATAGTAACAATGAAGTGGATTCGTACAACCGAAGCGCAGTTCTAAATGCATACAACTGTCTCGCACATGATATCATGCTTGGTTATTCAAGTGAACAAGAGAAGAGACAGTACCGAGATAAACTACACAAGATGACAGTGGCAGAAACCGATGGATTACCGTACATGCTGCCATTGGCAGAAGGATATCCCTACATGATAACTTCTAACATAGATGTCCTCCATCCTCCATCCTGGAGCAAGTATCTCTAACATCAGTGTTCTGTTGCATCAAGCACTATTTCCGTATGTTTACAACAGCCAGTATGTACATCCCATCATTGAAGTTGATACCGATGTACCAATTCTTCTTTGTGTGGCGACTTCAACACAAACGTGAAAAATGACGAAACATTTCTCAAATTCATGAAAGGCATGTTCAATCTCGAATGTACATCAGACGTTAATAAGTCAACAACACTAAGAGGCACCACCATCGAATTGACTTTTTCAAGACACATTACACTCGAAACACTCCCTTTCATTTCCTACTTTTCCTATCATCGTCCTATTCTCAACAGAATAACACAAATTGTAATAAATATCACACATGTTTAAAAGTTGTAAATAAAAGTTTTAAAACAATTGCTCAAAGCACATTCATACTTGTAAAAACTATGTACATTGTTAAAAAAAATGACATAATTGTATTTATGCGTACAAATAAATGTAACTTGATCAATTCTCTATATCCACACAAAATATCTATCAAACAAATAAAATTAAAATTTTCTTTTGAAAAATGCAACCATTCCATCAGTATTTTCTTATGACGTTTTAACGTTCAACTATCGTCAGTAAACCAACTTTACAGACAACCGATTTTTTGTTTAGAATGGCTTCTCTCTAGTTAGTACTACATATAACTCAATGGGGTGAACCGATTTCGATGATTCTTTTTTTTTTTATTTGAAAGCTGGTGCTTCACTTGTGGTCCCATATAAATTTAACCTAGGTCTGACCAATAGTTTTTGAGTTATTGTTAATAATTTATATTGAAGTCGGTGATAAAAAAAATTTTAATCTATACAAATAAATTTAATTGAAGTGTCTGTTTGTAATGTCAAAATAACAGCTTTTTACTTAATGCATATGAAAGTAAATACGGTACTTATAACTAAATTACAATTTTTAAAATTTTTGTCTGTCTGTTTGTTCTGGCTAATCTCTGAAACGGCTGGACCGATTTTGACGGGACTTTCACTGGCAGATAGCTGATCTCATAAGGAGTAACTTAGGCTACTTTTATTTTAGAAAAAGAATTAGGGTTCCGCGCAAAAAAAAAAACCATAACACGCGAGCGAAGTCGCAGGGAACAGCTAGTTATTATAATAAAACTGTGTTTAAATGTATCGAATTTCTTCGTTAGATTCACTCATTTTACCGCACTGAAAAACAATTGAAAAATGGCGGAAAAGTGTTTACGTTTTATTTTTCCTTTTCTTAATGTCCTGCGTCTATTGATATTAAATCCAGCCAAATACATATAGTACATCCAAAGGGTTTTTCTTAAATTTTATACAACCAAAATACGAAGAAACTTTTTACACAATCTATTATTAAATCACGTTTTGTAGTTGAAAAAATAACATGAGGACGGGGCTCCTACAACCGCACAATTTTTTTTTTGGATCACATAGATATTATAGTTGATTCCTGTGAAGTTGTTTCAAAGGTAGGACTCCTTTTCTGTCTAAGCGTCTGTCTGGGTAGCTATTTCTCACACACTTACCTTTTTCTGCCGTTAAATAGCAGTGCACTTGCACACGGCAGAATTCCAGTCTAAATAGTATAGAGAGCTAGTAATATTCTCACAGTACTGTGTTCAGAGCATCGATATATATGTACACCTACTAGATTTCGCATTCCAAACATACACTATAGTTGCGCGCCACATTTAATACCACTAGCGCCCTCTAGTATCGAGTAGCAGAACTAGGAGAGTCAACTAGAAATTTCGGAACCGATATGTACTGGAACATTCTAGATGTTTCTACAGTAGAAGGTTCTGGAAACTATCTGAGGCCCTATATAAGGCCGGTACAGACCACGACCGAGTCAGTATTGAATTGGCGATACAAGCTAATATTTCGAAGCTAAATAACTGCGAACTAAAGTGATCAGTAGTACAATTTTGTTTCATTATAAGTGTGGTTTTAAATTGTAATTAGTGTTCTGTAATTAAAGTGTCAATTTTGGTAATTCAATCAGCAGTTTTTAATTGTCTCGAACCCCAAGCTCGCAACACTATGCTCAACTGAACTGAACTGTACTGCAATCCGTACAGTGTGTCATTTAGTGTGGTTTCAATCTACTAGATAGTCTGTGGTTTTAATATACATGCAGTGTAGAGCGGCGCTAATAAAGTTTAGATTAAAAACTGACCGCGCATGCGCGAAGACATAGAGTAGTGCACATTTTTTTGTTTGGAATGGCTTCTCTAATACGTAGTACATATAACTCAATGGTTCACAGGCTTAGTTCTTAGAGGTGACAACGCATTTGTAGCCTTCTTTGTTCTGAAGTTGGTTGCAGGTATCCATGGGCTATACAGTAGCCAAGTACCATTAGATAGACTGTAAGTTTTTTTGCCACAATAGTTAATTAAAAAAAAATCTTTTGAGTTTTGAGTTGTATATCTCTGCTTCCTTATCCTTTTAGGTTCTCTGCTATACCATAATGTTACAGAAGGTTTTCCTTTCCTGACAAGGCTTTCCAAGTTGGGCAGGAGGACTGGTGAACGGATATCCTCACACATCACCAGTCCGTAAGATTTGTATCCGACCTTTTCGGCTGATTTTTCGCCATTAGCTCGTCACCAAAATGTCGTTCGTCGGTTAGCAGGATGCACCAAATAAATGAATTCTATTACAGAAATAAGTTTTTGGTTACTGGGTCTATATTAAATTAAACATATTACTATTATAAAAATAGTAGTGCGGCGGAGTAATTGCTCTATAACCTTTTTAGGAATGAGAAGAGGCCTGTGCCCTAACTGTGTGACGAATATAGAAAATTATTCATTTATTATGCATGTGCATGTATTTCAGTTGAATGTTGAGTTTCTTATAAAAAAAAAAACATTCTGTTACCAAGGTACTGACTGAGGGAAAAGAGTGGTCGCCAACCATATGCCAACGACCATTCTTCTGAAGATGAACAAGAGTCTGCTTACCCTGAAGTGCCCCTTCTGCCACCTTGAGAGCAGTCAGGACACATTCCGACGTCCCATGTGCTGTGGGATCTTGACTTAAATGATTATGGAGCTACATATTGGACCTTGTAAATCTTAACATAAGGTCCATAAGCCAATGGACAATTAATTATTGTTGACGATTAACACGGTTTGAGTTTATTTTGGAAATGTCACCAGAATTCTCTGATAATCATGAATTTCAAAACTTCAATTTCCTACTCTACCTCAAATAATATTATTCTGCAGCATTTATGTAACTCTGACAAATCTAAGTCAAAAGTATGAAGCAAGAATGCTAGATAAAATTATAAATTAATAATTTTATCTAGCATTCTTTAATGAAACAAACATCAATTGCATATTGTATATTTAAGGATGTTTGTTAGATTAATGATTGCTGCCCCTAAATTTTAATTAAATTAATGTTAAATTTCTGTTTTAAAATTGAGAATTTTTGTAACGTCATTTGGATGACAAATGCATATAAATAAAAATGTTCATTTTAAGTGTGAATCTGTTGTCCAGTAGCACATTAAGTTATTCCGTAACAAGTGACATGGTGTTGAATGTGTATGAAATGAAAGTGACATTAAAATTTAATTAGTTATATTGTTGTGAAGTGAAATTTAGATATAAATTATTTAAAAATCGATCACTCTGTAGAAAACAAATTTAGACAATGTATGTATCTCGAAACAAAAAATACTCCGAACTCACAATAACTGGAGTTTTAATGTTAACATAGGATAGCACATTGTAAATAAAGATATTATTTTTATGTGTGCTCAATTATAAGAAATAAACTTCCTGATTTCAAAAGCAGTGTTTACAGTGTAAGAATATTATTTCCTTAATTTTAAAATCAGCCAATCAATGTATGGAATACTTACACCTTGAAAATATTAATGTAATATAAAAACTTTGATAATATCAAACAAATACCTAATTCGATATATCAACAAATTAAAAAGGAGAAGTATGTATGTTCGTTTTATATTTTAAAATGTCCCATTTGTGTAAAAGAAAATGTTCTTATTTATTTATACTTAATGTATAGCATTTTCAATGTAATGTACAATAAAGAAGTGTTTCTGTGTTCACTTCGACAGTATGAAGCACACTTCCAAATTTTTATACTAAAGAGTAAGATAGTGTAGAGTAAAAATAAATGTAAATATGGTGGTCACGTGTTCAATTTATTTTTCTTTCTATCATGTTAATTATCTGTGAACTGTTTTGATGTGGGTTGAAAGAGATTTTAATGCATGCTATCGTTTTCCTTGCTAAAATAAGAAGCACGTCCCATCGTGAGTAGCGGTAGAAGTCGTAAGGATTCAGGGCTCTTATTACTCCAGAGAGCGAATTCAAGAAATCGAATAATAAGAAGAAAGATTTGAATCGTTTTTACCCGCCTTTCCCAGAAATAGGGTGGTTTTTCGAGTGTAAGTATGTAAGAACGTACGTAAATGGCTTGACGGATTTTGAAATTAGATATTGTATCCTTAAAATCGTTATCATCTTCGGCAGTGCCATAGGCTCCATTGATGTTACCAATGCAACATTCGCCAAACAATAGTGCTTTCTTAAAGTATATTTTAGACCACTTTAGATGATTTATTTGTTTTTAGATAATAATAATTCATTTTTATGTAGGATAAGGGTCATTAGTTATCTAGGTAAATTATCAAACCCTGTCAGATTTATTGCTATCGCGCTGTGCTCAAACGAACGGGATAAACAACCGAGTGACTCTACTACAACTGCAGTTCGTGCTTATTATTGAAAAATTGATAAAATGATCATCTCAAATTCCCTGTTTTCTCCTCCACAACAGGACCTACTTTTTATATGACAATTTAATATTATGTAATAAGGATTTTGGTAATCTTAATGTTTTTTTTTATGTCTAACGGCGTTATATCTGAGCATTTTCAGCTAGCTCTGAGCTTTCAGCTTCAAATAATTAATTTGAGAAAAAATAAACAATATGCACATGCCAAACAATATCCAGGGATAAAACAGACATATTCAAACAAAAGTTGAAAAGTGATGATTGGAATTCCACGTCCGTTTCAAACATTGTTTTCATGTTGAGTTCATAATAAAAATTTTTGTCGTCCTGTCGTCAAATAGCAGAGCTTGTATGCATTGTTCCAGTCTTTTTTTTTTCTTTTTTTTATGATAGGATGACACAAACGAGCACACAGTCCACTTGATGGTAAGTGGATGCTGTGGCCCATAGACATCTATACATCTATCCTCGTTTGCGAATCAAAATGCAGATGCGTTGTCATCCGTGAGGACTAAGATGAAATGCCTCTTTTCCAGTTTACGCTCGTATTCCATGACCCATTCGTGCGTGCTACTAATATAGCTGCAGCATGGCTCTACCGCGTATTAAAAGTCTGAAGTGTAAGAACCAGTTTAATTACAGGCCGGGAGGTATTCTGTCTAAGTACTCAGGGGTGACAACGCATCTGTAGCCTTTGAATGAAGTTGACTGCAGGTGTCCGTGGACTGCAGTAGCCACTTACCAACAAGTTGTGGTCCACTTGATGTGTGTATGGTGTTGTGTGAAATGAGTGGGAAGTTTGTTTGTCACTTTATTTTTTTAAAGGTAAAAATGTTACAATATATACTTCGAACGCAAATATAAAAATTCAACCTCTAGTCGGGTCTAGAATCACTAGAAAATTTTTCAAGTTAATTCCACTTTAATCAGTGGCTAAGCGCAACGCTGCGGGTCCGAATCTCACACGGAACAAGTGTTTATATGACCTACATAGCAAATAATTGTTATGGGTGAAGATCAAGTGAAGATGTTTAACGGACTAAATAACACTATTCTTCACAACTGTAATATTCAAGACAATTATCTCTCATAAGTATGCCTACCGCTCAACGCTAAGTCGTACTTCCACTGTATTGTTAGTTTCTTAGCTGCGAGTGATTTCATTTATTCTGGAGCTAGCAATACCTGTATGGGCACTACGTCTACTCATTAGAGTACTACATTCGCAGAAAATGTGCTGAGTGTTTCTTCTACTTTGATACGGAATCTACGCATTCTAGAATTGTTAGTCCAGAGTTTTGATGTTTAGCTTAATAAGCAACAGTATCTAGTATAGACTGTCTTGAAGATGTAGCTTACATTCAAATTGAACAAAGCTATAACGAACTGCAGAGCGCATAGCTAATCAGTTTGCATAGTCATGATCCATGTGTTGGAAATTAAAATTCAATACAATATATTCTCTTTTCTAATAAACGATTATTCCCGAAGTAACAGCGACAGTTCATCGCATTAACATTACATGGTACACTGGAAGGATAGCCTGTATTTGCACGTGAATTATAACTAACAAACAAAAGGTATGTATTCTAAATTCATCATGAGTAATTCATGATAAAATATACATTTTAGTAGGATATAAGAGGCCGATTTTTAATAATTTATATTCGTACACCGCCACCACTCGGTTAATTATTTGAGTTAAAGCCTATATATTTTTTTATTACTATAACATTTTTAAGCATATATCATAAACAAATTTTAATTTATGAGTATAAAAAATAAACATGAAACATGCTTTCTCCCTTTGACTGCAAATTCCCATATCTAATTTACATAAAATGGCTAAGTGATTGCCGCCGTAGAGATCTAAATGTTACCTTCGAAGTAATTTATCTAAAACATTTTATAATAGTAATAATAATCTAACATCACCACAAATAATTAAGTGTGGAAGAGGAGAAACTGGAGGTTTACCGTTACCATTACAGCCTATTAAAGGGTCCACTGTTGAACACAGGCCTCCCTCATGGATTGACTCATAGGGCCCATATGTGCCAGTTGAAACGATTGGGCAAGCCGATTGACAACCGCATTCTCATAAATTATGCTGCGGTTAGTTTTTATTCCGAAGATGCTGCCGCCTATTTCCTATTTAGCCTCTAATGACAACCACGGGATGATATATGGGGTCGTGGAGTCTCTTATGCAGCCATTGCACTGCAAACGATACAGTAAATAAAAAATAAAGTTAACCATAATTAGTTTGCAAAGAAACAAAATTGACTTAAGGCTCTAAACAATGACATGCAATGCAATCATAACGAAGGCAATGACCTCCATAGCAGTGCTTAATTGTCATAAAGTACATAATAGTCGTAATGAATCGACAGATAGTCCAATGGCGCCTCTGTAACATTAATCATTATCTATTTGTTAAAGAATAAATCTGATAGCAGGCAAAGGCAACAAGCGATGTTGCCGGTTGTAATCAGTATGCGCCCTTCTCACATTTTTCTGAACAGCCTCTAGCATCTCTTTCACATATAGTCGATGCCTCATATTGCATCTTGCTCACTCTCACAGCAATCCGACCGCGCCAACGGGGGACACGTAGCGTTCCTCACTTCAACCGGGTTCCGCGGTCGTCCGCCGACTCCATGCGGCGCTGACTTGCGATACGCTAAACTAGTGTTTCCACCGTGAAATCACCAGTGTTATTTGTTTATACCTACTTTGGATTTGATTACATAGCTCCAAGAATTGACTGTGGATCGTGTGGTGTACTGTACGTGTATGTGTGAATTTTGAAACGACTGATATTGTGAATCGGGTCGGCCGTGTTCGTTTGTGCTGAATGGTGATTAAAAGTAATTTACTTCGCTTTTACGGTGCGGAGGGTCGGTCGGTTCGTATCGATCGCTTATCGAAACAAAGCGGTGGATTGTTTTGACGGCGTGAGAGAACCGGTGCAGCTAGGTAAGGCTATTCACTATTCTATAAAGTAATAATAATATTATATGAATTGAATCAAAGGACTAACGTCAACGTACTCATCGGTTGCATGAAGAGAGGGCGGGAAGGTAACTGTTCGCCCGTCGTGAAGCTTAGATACACAATATTATAGAATAGAATAGATTCATTTTAATTCATAATAGATTATAAGTACATAATACTTATTGAAAGACATTTTTTATTTTTACCACTGGTTCACAAAAAATAAACCTCTGTCCTGCGAAGAACCAGCAAGAAAACGAGCGGGACTATTAAAAAAAAAACACAATTTACAATATAACATTTTATACAATTGCTATGAAAACATTTAGAAACAGCATGGTAGTGATCACCTCATTCCCAGGGGTTATCAGTCATGTAGTCTTTAGTAGTATAATAACCCTTACTAGACAATTTTTGCTTAATAAATAATTTAAACCTTTTGATAGAATAGGTCTGCATATTTTGTGGGACTTCGTTGTAAAAGCGTATTAGATTGCCCCATGAAGGAATAACTGACCCTTTGGAGTCCAGTAACTGGTATAACTAACTTGTGCATGTTCCTTATATTTACAGAATGTACATCACTATTTATAATAAAACTATTTTTGTTTTTGTGAGTACGTACAATAAGTTTTCGTAAATATATTGAGAGGCCAAAGTTAATATATTTATTTCTTTAAATTTTTCTCTTAAGATTCCTTCGGACCTAGGTTATAAACTGCTCTTACAGCTCTCTTTTGCTAAGCAAATATAGTTTCAATGTCAGTCGCATTACCCATAGCAAGATTCCATGTGACATTACTACATGCCTGTATACTGCCTACATGTGCTATGGCCATAACTAAAATAAACTAATCTAGCTGTTTCAACATATGTAAGGCATCTTTTTTTACAGCATATGCTGCAGAACTAAGTTTATGTATGAGGGCCCCATTGAAGCTTCGCGTCAACTGTAATACCGAGAAAAACAGTGGATTCAACAAGACCCAGCTCCTTCCCACTTAAAAGTACGCTGGTATTCACCTTTCTAACATTAGGTGTAGTGAATTTAATACATTTCGTTTTATTACCGTTCAAAATTAACTTAGTTCAATATTAACGTTAACGTTAATATTGAACTAAGTTACTTAAACCAGTGTACTACCTACTTTTGATATAGCATTATTCACTCCGTCATATTTCAATAATTGCCTTTTTAGTCGGAAAATCAACGAAGTATCATCAGCAAATAATACTATATCATGGTTATTCCCTATCAAGTAAGGTAAGTCATTAATATAATCTAAGAACAGAAAGGGACCAAGAACTGAGCCCTGACGAAGAACTTTTTGCGTTCCATTATTTAGATATGACATAATAAGTTTAAGCGCTATGTTTTTTACGCCATAATGATGTAGCTACCTGATTAATGTCTCATGGTGTAAACAGTCAAAAGCCTTGGAAAGATCACAAAATATACCCAAAGCATCTTCTGGATTTTCCCATGCACAGAAAATATGTTGGATTAGCTTAACACCGGCATCAGTTATCGAGCGACCCCTTGTAAATTCAAACTGATTGTTATGTAGTAATTTATTTACATTAAAAAAAACTTAATATTTGATCTACAATAATAATTTTCCAAAAAATTTACTGAGCGTTGACAGTACAGAAAAGGGTCTAAAATTAGTGGTGTCCAACATACTGCAAGAATTAAATAAAGGTTTAACTTTAGTATGTTTCATTAAATCAAGAAACACGCCAGATTCGATAGGACTAGCATTGAAAATAATAGCAAGTTGTGGTGCGATCGCATCTATTATAGACGTAATAACTTTAATAGAAATCCTCCACAGATCTGCTGTTTTCTTAATATCGATAGTTTTGAAATATTTACTTCCTTCATTATTTTTTAGGGTTTCGTACCTCAAAAGGAAAAAACGGAACCGTTATAGGATCATTTTGTTGTCCGTCTGTCTGTCTGTCTGTCAAGACCCATTTTCTCAAAATTGCGTGGAGGTATCAAGCTGAAATTCATATCAAATACTCAAGTCTACTCGTACTGTCCCTTGGAGTTCTGAAAAAAAATCAAACTTCTAAGCCAACACAATCAAAAGATACAGCCGTTTATGCCGCAAATTTTCGACATTAGCAAGGGAATCAAAACCTACAGGATACTTCCCATGAACTCAGAATCTTAAAATTTTGTACGAAGCAACGTATATTATAGCACAGATAACGGAAAAATTGCGAAAAGCATAAATTTTTAGTTACATCATATTATATTAAAAATATTTTTAATAATTTTAAACTTCGAGTCCGACTCGCACTTGACCGGTTTTTTTTTGATACATAGAATGTGAGGGGTCTGTAGACATTGATAACAATCAAGTGCTCGAACTCAATACATGCCATTTCTACAGTTTGCTCAACAGAGAGGCTCACAATATCCTTACGTTCTTTACTTATTAATAATTTATTACCTATTAATTTCTGTTAAAGCAACTGATGACCTGGTGTTTACTGAAATTAAACATATTATAGTTATAATCGTTTAACTAATGTTCAGTTATACAAAAATATGTATGTTGTTACTACAGTAGAACCTTGATAACTTAAACCTCGACAACGTAATAATCTCTATAAATTCATAAAATATTGTGTTCCCTTCTACTTGGAGTCCAAAACCTCGTTTACTTAGGATACAAACCCTCTATAACTTACCTAAACGAATAATTTGGGCATCGCACCTCAGTAACTCGTAAAGTTGTAACGAAGACGACCTTTTTAACTTCAATCATCTATCAATGAGACATTTTAAATGAATGTGCAAACAATAAAGGTTCCCTGTAGACCAATGTTATTGCTTACACGTGTTTACCAAATGGCTTCAAATGTAAACAATAGACTAAGTACAGTAACTTATTTGTATCATTAGCGTTTAGCCTTCGTTCCGGGAGCCGGGAGCATCTCTTTGCACATAGTGAGTGAAAATGAATTCAAAACGAAAACTGAAAGCACTAACATATGCTGAGAAGTTAAAAGCAATCGAAACAGTGAAAAGTGGTTTGAAGAGGAAAGACGTGGCAGTCCAGTTTGGAATACACGAGAGTACATTATCCATCATATTATAAAAAGAAGCTGAATTATTGAAGAAGCAAGAATCGGGAGAAAGTCTTCTATGTAAAAGACGAAAAATTTCTGAATTTCCTAATTTAGAACAATGCTTGTTTACATGGTTTAGACAGTGTAGAAATAAAAACATTAGGTGTTAGCGGACCTACACTAAAGGAAAAAGCTGAAGAGTTTGCTAAGTCATTGGAAATCCGTACTTTTAAAGCTAGCAATGGCTGGTTAGAAAATTTCAAGAAACGACATGATCTGACCTTCAAAAAACTTTGCGGTGAAAGTGCAAACGTAAGCAAAGAACTTTGCAAAGAACGGAAAAGTCAATTAGAGAGTTTATTGAATGGATACGACCTCAATGATGTTTTTAATGCTGACGAAACGGGGCTCATAAACAAAGTTCATAAACGAACCTCTGTAAGTACAGACATAAACCAATAAAAAGTCCTTAACTTAAACCCTTAGTAAGTAAAAACCTCAACAGCTCTAATTATTTAACGTTTCCCTTGGTCTTTATCTTATCGAGGTTCTACTATATTTAAAAACAATTCAATTTCTAATTCTTTGCACAACATGCCTTGCATATTTTGATGCACCACATGTATACAATTTTTATAATTGTTTTCGTGAGAAATTATACAATTAACTATTTTTGGGCTACATTCTGGATAATTTAAATTGTTACTATGATTGCTAGAGATTACCTCTATTGTCTCATTTTCTAATTTAAATTACGTAGAACTGATTCCAAATTCAATGTAAAGTCATTCCACTACTCAAAAGAAGCAGATGTGTTCTTTTATCTCATTCTCTGCTGATTTATATTTAATTGACATAATTTGTAATAAGGTTTGAAGAGAAAAAAATTCTGAATTAAGCCACTCTATATCAGTCTCATAACAATTTTTCATGTTTTCCACCTCAACTGAATACAATTTAAGTTTATTAAATAATTCTTGCTTTTCCTTACATACTTTTATATAATTTTTAGTATTAATTACGGTTTTTATTAATTTTTGCATTCTTCTAATATACCTATTTATTATTTTTTTATATATTTCTTTAATTTCTTCAGAACTTTAACAGATCTCAAATCAAATTATCAAGAAAACAATTTAAAATGAAATCGGCAAACAACAACAACACTTTTATGTTATATCGTAAATATAAAAAGGGATAGCAAGAATTACAGTAACTTTATAGGTACTAACTTTAAAACTAAACGAAGTTCGTTTGCTGCAGTCACTTGTGTTGATACACAAGTCATTTATTTATTCATATATTGACGACTTTTACAAATTACACAATACAAATTGGTGGAAATTATCAAATTATAATATTTAATTTTACGAAATTATTTGGGAGCAAATCATTAAACAATTTTTCACCGGGGTTGCCACAAAGCTTTATAAATATAAAGCTTATATTATTTATACATACAACACCTTAGATGCATAAGAACATGTTTCTCTTCATGATTTTTTTATAAGCGCGCATTATCAGCCCGTTATTATATTATCTACGTCACGATAGCAGAGTTTTGTTTCAGTGCCATAAACATCGACCCAACTAATAGTTTCACATTCCACGTGAGTAATATCCTT